ATGTCCAAGCACACCTACCTCTCCTCGGCCTCTGCGTCGGTGACCCGCCGGGGTTCATTGGCCGGCTCCGCAAGATCAGTGTCAAGTGAGGGCAGAGGCACGCGTCACATCGTTGCACAGCTCACATCTTCACACATGCACGTGCCTCGTAGCGCTCAGCTTTTGCTCAAGGGCACTCGTCCCGACGTAGGCGGCTGATCGGACCAGGGTACCGTTTCCTGCGGACCGTAGAACGTCTCCGGTCGAACATAAGCCTGTCGGTGGGATCTGTTGTTCTGATACATCGTCTAACTGCATTCATTCTGTACGCGATATAAAAAACATGAAACATGTCCTCCACCACATAGATTAGTCAAAGTACAGCTGGACTTTTGGCTGTCCGGTCACAAATGCACGGGTAGTGTTCTCATTTCAAAGTTCATGCTATCGTGTCTTAGTCGCTCCGTGTTGCCGTTATGCATTATTATTTTATTGTCGCCCAGCTGACACCATCGCCCATCCCCGCAAGGATGCACTGTTTCGTCCGTGCTACCATGAATGGTTCTGTGTATCAGGCTGATCCAGGGCTTGGACCTGCCTCATCAGGGTTCATGTCTGGCTCACCGACGGCCTGCTTTAACCTGAAGGTCTTCCTCATCGGGTCGCTGGGGGCATGACAGCAGGAGTTCCTCTGCTTTCCAGTCGTGAAGCTCCAGGAGCCAGAGTTGGTGCTGAAAGGAGCCATCAAGCCTCTGAAGGCGCTCATGCCTGCCAGGTGAGCGCGCTGCTGATGCTCCAGCAGCGCAGGTCAGACGCTATCACTTATCGGTGGCACCACGTCAAGACCGCACTTCGCCTCTCTTCAGCCATAATTTCACAAACCTTCACTCTACGGGCTGTCGAGACATTTTGAAATGTTTTGAGAAGGTCTTGTAAACATAAGTGTGATACATGTATTTCATCAGGAGAACTTTGCCCTACTGAGCAATAGTATTCGAAGTAAATCCGGTGTGAAACCAACGTGACATAAATATGAATGACTCATTTCTCAGAGCACTGCAAACGCTTCGAGATAACGCACATAACACACCTTCGAGAAACGGCTAATGACGTCCACCCAACGCATTAATCTACAACATTTAGCATCAGCCCATTTGTTCCACCCGGTGCAGCACATGTGGACAACATAGTTTCGGAAGTCACCCGCGAGGCTCCTTCGGCAGCTGAACGTGGGCGTACAAAACAGCTCCGTGCGATTGCTTTCATCCACAAATCGTCTTTGAGTGCTTGAGCGTCTCCATTCATGACTGTATTTGGCGTGTCATAGTCGCAGGTGTGCATTCCGAGAAGTCTGAGCCTTGATCCGAAATTAAGGCGGTGGGTGGTCAGATTTGCCCGTCTGTACGATTTACAGGCACGCCACCGGCTGCTACTCTGCCCGATTTTCTCCAAAGGGAGACGTTCTCGCAGGAGGATTTGGCAACGGGGCCGTCCTGGTAAGTGTGCGCAGCTATAGGCTTAGGTTTACATCGCAGTAGGATGTTTCAGCAGCTGTCACCACGAAACAACGACGAGCTTAAGTAATTTAGCATGTTATTCCAGAAAAAGAAAATGACGATGTTTTGACGTGCGATTTACGATGCATGTTACGATATCGATGCCATGGACAATTCTGTCAATGGACCATATTTAGGCCCTGCCAGGCTCCCGGTGGCTGAGTTTTGAGTTGCATAGGTTATGGCCCGTGATGCGGTATGTACTTTATGACGCATTCATACACTGCAAACCCGGTGTTTCTTGCGCTTTGCGTATGGTCGTAAATGGACGGAGCATGAATGTCATTGCAAAGACACATAACAATTGCGCTAGGAGACTGCATGTATCGGAACATATTGCAATTGTCAATACCTGCTTGAAATCGTCAACCCGATTAAGAATATTGCAGATCTTGTTGCCACTGAAACCTTGTGCACCGTTATATCGGAACCACGCGCCATTCTGCTGGTACTTATCGCATGTGCCTCAGCTGTATGAGAAGGACGACGAGGGCCTGTACACGAGGCAGAGCACGTTGCGCAAAGGCTCGCGCTACGCGGATGACACGGTCATGGCTGTACGCTTCCATCCCAAGGAGACGCAGGTGCGCAGTGGGGAGGGCACTTCCATCCCAAGGAAAAGCATGTGCCTGGCGGGAAGGGCACTTCCATCCCAGAGAGACGCAGGTGGGCAGCGGGGAGGGCACTTCCATCCCAAGGAAACGCATGTGCCTAGCGGAAAGGGCACTTCCATCCCAAGGAGACGCAGATGCCCAGCGGGGAGGACACTCCCATCCCAAGGAGACGCAGATGCCCAGCAGGGAGGGTACTTTCATCCCAAGGAAACGCATGTGCCCAGCGGGGGGGGGGGGCACTTCCATCCTAAGGAGACGCAGATGCGCAACGGAGAGGGCACTTCCATCCCAATGAAACGCATGTGCCCAGCGGGGAGGGTACTTCCATCCCAGGGAAACGTGTGTGCCCAGCGGGGAGGGCACTTCCATCCCAAAGAAATGCATGTGCCCAGCGGGGAGGGCACTTCCATCCTAAGGAGACGCAGATGCCCAGCGGGGAGGGCACTTGCATCCCAAGCAGACGCAGGTGCCCAGCGGGAAGGCACGAAATCACCGTCCATTGCCACGAGGCGATAATCCGAGGATTCGGTCGGAGCTAGATCCGGCTGGGTGAAGCAATCTATTGGGGTGGGTTCATGCTCTGGATTAAATCTGTACAATTTACAGTGGCCTGTATCCTGTGTCCCGCTTACATTCTGTTATGCTTGCAAGTTCATCAGAGATTCTCTGCGGCTGGGCCTCGTAGCTTTAGGCCAGCTCTTCTCTTTGGGTGCTCAGCACATGTTGGCCATCGTTGAAGCCAGGTGGAAAGTTTGAAACTGGCGTAGGATAAGCGCCACGTCTAAGTTAGTGCTGGCTGGGGTGTAGGGGCTATATTCACCTGCATGCGAGAACATGATGACTCGCTGGGGTGATGGTAATCCGGCCCAGTCCACGGCTTGGCCTATGCCCTTTGCGTGCCCGCAGTACCTCTACTCGTGTGCGGTGGTTGGCACGGTATTCAAGCATAATCTGGCAGGTGGCGCGGACGAGAAGTGCACGAAGTTCTGTGACGGTAAGACCATGTCTACTTCACGCTGCATAGAGCTGGATATCAGAAATTTTGCCACAGGGAGAGATCCAAGCCAGAGGGCCTGATGAAAACCATCGGCATTTCAGTTTTTGTTTCACAGCAGCGGTCGTTCCGCATATTTCTGATTGGCTCAGTGGAATTTCAGTGGAAGACATTCCTCGACGACGCCCTCAGATCGTTTAGACTGAGAGCTCTCTTAAAATTTCAGAGACTCCACATTAACATTAAATGACTGCTCTCATTGCAGCCACGCTGATGCCTTACCCCGTTGCGCACATTGTCTCAACTGAATGGGCGTATCTACACTCCAGGTTAATGAACGCGGCCTCTTTGGTGATCTTGAGAGCCCACTTGCTGCACACCAAACAAGTGACGTCACTTGCCTGGATAACCGCGTCCCGTCGCTGGCGTACATGCAGCAGAATCAGCCCAGTATTCAACACCAGACTGGCCGGCTGTAATCGCTGTCACTCTGCATGAGCTTATTGGTTGATTTCACTTGGCTTATCAGTTTTCTTTTGCTGTTATTCCATGGGTAACATTTTAAAAAAGCATGCCTGATGCAGAGAACAACAACCGGATCAACGCCATCGACTTAAACATGACCGGTGAATTTCTGGCCTCCGGAGGAAAGGACCTCAATATTCGTATATACGACACCAAAACACAGGAGGTGAGCGGGAGGCGACCTGAGCCAGCGGGTCGCGAACATTAGTGACTCCTAAATGATACACATTTGATCATTCGAGCTGCATGCGATGTGTTGTGGGCCCAAGTTACACTTTGGGCCGTTTATCCATTACGTTATGCATTCCCCCTCTCCCTACCGTTACGCAATTGTTAAGCTGGGCGAAACCCCCTCGCCATGGCTACGTTGTGTTAAGTGTTGAGTCCCAAAAAGGTAACGTCCGTTTGGCCCCCGAATGAGGCAGAGCAGCGAAACAGGGACGGCCGTGTCGCTTGCCATCAGAGGAAGCCAGCGTTTTAAGGCTGCTAAAGGTTGAAAAACTTGGTATGATTCACATTAACGCCCGAGCTTAATGTTACGCTGTCCAGCCCCCCCCCCCCCTCATCCCCCTGGTTACGCTCCAATCGCGCTCCATCATACCCCCTTCCCGCTCCAAGCGCAACGTAACATATGGACGGTCCCCTGGTGCAGATGTACTACATGGTCTGCAATGGGTGATGTACTCACTGCGCATCACACGTTTCACTGCTCTAGCTTAAGCAGGAGTACACTGGCTTCCACATACACAGCGTCGACAAGGACTCAGGAGGGCACGCGCTCAGCGTGTACTGCATCAAGTTCCACCCGGACCAACGGGAGGTCCTCCTCACTGGCGGCTGGGACGACACCATCAAGGTGCAGCTACTGCAGCAGCGGGAGCCCCGCCGTGCGCTCAGACACTGGTTCTAGAACATCACTGTGTAGGATCTTCAACGATGGCACATGATCCAAAATAACTGCCTGTCCATTAAATTGCAAGTGCTCCATCGGGGTTCACTACATTTGGCGGTGCAGCAATGAAAAAGTACAATTTAATCAGCATTAAGAATGACATTAGCATGCATACGGCGGAGACTTACCGTGGTAGGATACTTCACCATCGGCAAGCATAAAGATGACACTTCCAGAGCATTCTGTAAAGCGGTTAGTAACCAGATGTCTTGACCTAGTAGCGCAGGGCGCCCGCGTGAGATGCACGTGCCCTGTCGTCAGATATGGGACATGCGGACGGAGCCGGGGCTGGTCGGCTCGCTGGGAGGGCCTCACATCTGCGGCGAGGCCATCGACATCAGGGTGAGACGCGGCCGCGGGGTTAACCCCGTCACACTGGGGACAAAGACCCGCCCTCCGGGCCGGGCGCCCGCCACACTAGGTGCAGAGACCTACCCTCCGGTCCAGACGCCCGCCACACTAGGTGCAGAGACCTACCCTCCGGTCCAAACGCCCGCTACACTGGGTGCAGAGACCCGCCCTCCGGCCTGGGCGCCCGCCACACTAGGTGCAGAGACCTACCCTCCGGTCCAAACGCCCGCTACACTGGGTGCAGAGACCGCCCTCCGGCCCGGGTAACACGCTGAGCTGGAGCATCCGCTGGAGTGGCTGGGCAAGCGTCTGGTAGGCTCGAGAGGAGTCCGAGAGCTCCGAGACACGCTTACACAGTCGAGATGTGTTGCTTGCTGACAGCCAAGAGTGGTCGTATGTAGCAGCAGAGCATGATGAGTCGTGCACGTCAAGCAACAATGGGGTGAAGCCATTACTACTCAGTATACAATTGGCTGGCACAGCCTTGTGGACGGCGTCTTGTGCTCGCCAGGATAAGGTGATGACGGTAGAGCGAAGTACACAACATAAAACGCATAGGGAATCTGAGGGAATTTTCAAGAATTTCAAGTTTAAAAATTTCATGTCTATGCGTGAAGCGTAGATGTAGGACCTCAACCGTCTAACAATGAGAGTAACTACGGCCGGACACTTGGTCTCTCTTTGAGCACTATCTAGGGGCGCTGCTGGCACGGCTATGTGGTAAAACACTGCAAAACTGCCGGCGAGAAAGGTCATTTCAACTTTTATATAATTATTTTTCTATGCCGTTACCCAACAACAGGTAACCAGGAGTCAATGTCATTTATGATGTACATCCAGTCCACAAGTTGCTAGACGCAGTTATCTGACTAAAGTTATATGCCCGCGAAAATCTGCACCAGATATTTGATGACTCGCAATGGCGTGCCCTCCTCGCATGTGGCGCCGCCCTGGCGGCGACTGACGGGGGATGCGCGGCAGGGAGAGACGGTGGTGAGCGGTTCGTGGCAGGCGGAGCAAGCCATCCAACTGTGGGACCTACGCGAACGGCGACCCATCAAGTCTCTCGGCACCTCACACGACACCAAGCTGCAGGGGGATAACCTGTACTCGGTCCAGGTAACGACAACTGCAGGGGGATAACCTGTACTCGGTCCAGGTAACGGCAGCTGCAGGGGGATAACCTGTACTCGGTCCAGGTAACAGCAGCTGCCCGCGGATAACCTGCACTGGGTCCAGGTAACAGCAGCTGCCTGGGGATAACCTGTACTCGGTCCAGGTGACGGCAGCTGCAGGGGGATAACCTGTGCTCGGTCCAAGAGCAGCAGCTGCCCGGGGATAACTTGTCCTCGGTCGAGGTTACAGCAGATGCCGGCTACTGTCTGTCCCAGGCAGTGACAACAGCAAGGCCAGCCGGGCGAAGTCCAGATGGCAATAGCCGCAGATGGCAGTCCCGGCCTACCGCGAGAGCGCTACGTGTCCCTTTTATTTTCATGCGATTTGTTTTACTTGCTACCATGTTTCCATAAAATTTTAAGGTTAAATCCAACATTTTGGAGAGAATATATACTATGAATCATAGCCCGCGATAGGCAGTGCTTATTATGGAAAGCCTTGACACTATAATCCGATCATGAAATTGCAGATCAGCGGCAGAGTTACGTAAAACCTTTCCCTAAGACCTCATGAGTATATGAGAACGTTGTAAAGCCTCAATCACACGCGCACACCCGCTTCTGAAATGAACCCGGGTTGCCGGCCAGGAGCCGGATATCAACCACTTACCCCTACGGAGAGACAGACGTCACGTGACACTACCCAAAACAGAGCGAGCCGATGGCGCCACACCCAGCCGGCTTCAGCTTCTCATCGATGGCCATGATCAAGTGGTGTTTGTCATGCTCGAGGAGGCCGCGAGGAGTGCGGCCAAAGACTGATGGCTCGGTTCAGAGCGAAGCAGAACGCTGTACGCGTGACCGATTCCTCGACACCGCGCATGCCGCTGGTCCACTCACAGACTGTGTTCATGAACCACGGACGACATAGGTCCCGGACAGCTGCATGCATAGGTGGGCAATGTTCACCCAGTCCACCCTGACGGACCTGGCGAGGAGAGCACGTCACAGAAATATACTTGTCTCACCCTCCCAGCTCGTCAAAAATGTGATAGCCTAAGATGGCATCGGTGCAGCTGCCGTCCCACTGCTGCGAGGCCGTAGTGCCCACCTCGGTGCCGCGCGCGCTCCTCGGCGCCGCCGCGGCTGCCACAGCTGACGCCGTTGCCATGCCGGCAGTTCGCCCGCACCGATCCGGACGGCAACCACGTGATCGCGGCTGGTTCGGGCACCAACAGCTTCCAGTACATCAACCACCGCACCGAGAAGGTACGGCGCCGCGCGGCGCCAGTGATCCCGTACAGCCAGAGCGTGGGAATCGGGCATGACCCTGCATCCGTGTGGCGGATACCAGATCACGTGTGACACTTGACGGTGGGTCTTGACCTGGGTTCCGATATTTGTTTGTTGGATCCAGGCACATGGCTGAGAATGAGAGAGACAAGGTGAGGTGCAAGGATCCATGCGGTGTTAGCGTGCTGTCTGCGACGCTGTACCGAGCGTCGCGGAATACGCACTGAAGTTTGGTAAGCCGTGCAGGGCGAACACGTGTAGGATCATTTTGGGAAGGGGATTGTGGTACTGGGAAGGCCATAGACTATGGACATCAGCACAAGAACAGCACGCAGCGGATCTTGCGGGCTATTTCAAGCATCGAAACAGCAACATTGGAATGAGGTTCTACAGCGTCGGGTACACAAGTGACCTCTGCCAGCGGCATCACCCTTGGGGATGACGTCACTGACATGCCTGCGTTTGATGCAGACACCACAGAAGACCGCATGAAGAGTCTGCTGTGCACCACACTGCATCGCGCTTCTCACACACAGCATCGCGGCCGATCTGCGTGTAATGACGTCATAACCCTGACCTATGACGTCACCTGTCCGCAGGTGCTCGGTACTGGCACCACGGAGAAGCCATTCCACACCGTAGACAGCTACGGCCGGACCCTGGTGGCGGCCGGCGGCGACGGCTGGATACGCTTGCTGCACGTGCCACGGCACCAGCACACCTGAAGCTGCAGACTTTGACACAAATGAGGCTGTATCTGCCACGACACGAGCGTATTCGAGGCCGCACGTGTCATGACACCCACACACCTGATACGTATGTGCCACAAGACCAACATGCCTGATGCCCCGTGCCACGAGACCAACACGCCTGATGCCCCGTGCTACAAGACCAACACGCCTGGTACCCCGTGCTACAAGACCAGCACGCCTGGTGCCCCGTGCCACCGCACCGACACACACCTCGCGTCAGAGATGGAGGTGGAGCAGCGGCGCCGGGTTCGAATCCCTCACCATCACATCACCGTGGCCGCCTCCGCGGTTTATCCTGGTGCCTGTTGGTCAGATGTCAGGCCGGCCGTGCGGACAGGGGACGAATTGGACGCCTGCACCCAATGCCGGCTTGGTGCCTGCTCACGCGTGATATGCTTGGTTGCTAGTTTGCCGAGTTACTTGTACCGCCATGCTACTTGTTTGTGGGCGAGGAGGAGCATCACACAGCGTGGGAAGACCTGGAACCTTAGTTTTTGTCAAACGGCTTGTTGTCCATCTAAAAGGCCTGCGGGTGCAGTGGACATTGTGTTTACCACTTCCATTATTGCTTTTGTCAGGTACAAAACGTGTGATAAAAACGTCTATCTACCTTTGTTATGCGTTGCAGCTGCGCAATCTAACGGCATCCAAGAACATTGATTATTTCAAGACAATTGTCGTCCCAGTGGTCGCATGGCTTGAGCGCTACAATACGACTTCCCCAGCACTTATAGGATAACCTTCGTCGAGGATGCTCCTGTCGATCTGGATGGAGTCCACAGCGGTGTGCTGTAGATCCCCTCGCACCACTACTGCTGTGGACAATGAGGCGAAATAACCCTCGGGAAATCGGGAAAGGGTCTTTTTCCACGATCGGGGATAGCACTGCGCTAAACAGGTCGCGTTGAACACCTGATCATTCCGTCTCGATCCCAGTCCCAGCGCAGCCCATTTCCCAAGCACGGGACACATTTTTAGAGGCAGAGATTATGCTCGAACTGGAGGAAGTATCAGACTTCACACCGAAGCTTCTGAAACCTTCGCCGTTTGCCTACCCTGGTGACAACTCCAACAGTTCTCCCTACATACTGAAGGTGTCTGCTATGGTGCCTCCCTAACAGTCCTCTCTACATACTGAAGGCGGCTGCCATGGTGCCTCCCTAACAGTTCTCCCTACATACTGAAGGTGTCTGCTATGGTGCCTCCCTAACAGTCCTCTCTACATACTGAAGGCGGCTGCCATGGTGCCTCCCTAACAGTTCTCCCTACATACTGAAGGTGTCTGCTATGGTGCCTCCCTAACAGTTCTCCCTACATACTGAAGGTGTCTGCTATGGTGCCTCCCTAACAGTTCTCCCTACATACTGAAGGTGGCTGCTATGGTGCCTCCCTAACAGTTCTCTCTACATACTGAAGGCGGCTGCTATGGTGCCTCCCTAACAGTTCTCCCTACATACTGAAGGTGTCTGCCATGGTGTCGCCCTCTGTTGCGGTCGGCGGCCACCGCCCGGTCCCAGCTGACGGCGGCCCCGCCCACCCAGGAACCATGTTTTATGCTCGACGTGGGCGGGACCGCCGCCCAGAGGCACCTCACGCAGAACGTCACGCCCCGCCCACGTGCGCCACAGCTGTCACCCGTCAGCGGTCGGACACGAAGCCGGCAAACTACGACGTCCACCCCGCGCACGTCCGCACAGGCCGGTCGGCATTGATTTTCTGTAGGCGCTGGATGAACGGAGGCGGAACAGGGCTGCATGCTGACATGTGTAATTGGTATCGTGAGCCTCCCACCCGCGTGTTAGTATGTCGATCGGCCGATTGGACTGAGCTGAGTGACATGCTTAGCCTCCGCCCGCGAATGCAGATGTCATAAGCCCGGCACTTGAGACGTCTGCGCTGTTGGCTACCGGCAGCATACTACGTCAGGGACCCCAGAGCGACATTGCAGTGGACTGCCCACAGCGCTACCGGGATTGACTTCCCATAGCGTCACCTAGATCGACATAGAGTTACCGGAATGGGCATAGCATTATCGGGATGAATATAGCGTTACCGGGATGGACATAACGTCATTAGGATGGACATAGCATCATCGGGATGGACGTAGCATTACTGGGATAGGTATAGCGCTACTGGGATAGATATAGCGTTACCGGGATGGATATGGCGTTACCCGGATGGACATAACGTTATTGGGATGAACATAGCGTTACCGGGATGGCCATAGAGTCATCGGGATGGACTCCCCATGGCGTTGCCGAGGTGGTCTCCCCAAGGCGCTACCGCGATGGACTCCCCAAGGCGTTACCGGGATGGACTCCCCAAGGCGTTACCGCGATGGACTCCCCAAGGCGTTGCCGGGGTGGACTCCCCAAAGCGGTGCCGCGATGGCCTCCCCAAGACGCTACCGGGTTGGACTCCCCATGGCGTTGCCGGGATGGATTCCCCTCGGTGTCTCCGGGATGGACTCCCCTCGGTGTTTCCGGGATGGACTCCCCTCGGTGTTTCCGGGATGGACTCCCCTCGGTGTTTCCGGGATGGACTCCCCTCGGTGTTTCCGGGATAGACTCCCCTCGGTGTTTCCGGGATGGACTCTCCAAGGCGTTACCGGAATGGACTCCCCAAGGCGTTACCACGATGGACTCTCCAAGGCGTTACCGGGGTGGACTCCCCAAGGCGTTACCGCGATGGGCTCTCCAAGGCGTTACCGGGATGGACTCCCCAAGGCGTTACCGCGATGTTCTCCCCAAGGCGTTACCGGGGTGGACTCCCCAAGGCGTTACCGAGGTGGGCTCCCCATGGCGCTAACGGGATGGCCATGGGTGTAACCTGTCAGGGAGGGATGGGGGGGGGGGGATATTCTGGAACGGTATGTACCGAAATTCTGACAAGGGGCTCTTGTCCTCAATGATAGTTGTAAACTAAACACTTTCCGCATCTGCCTGGTTGCAAACGTTTATTTGCCGGTTAACTAAACGCGTCCTAGCATCTTAGTACTTACATATTTGTCTTAGGGTCAGACAGTTCCCTTCAGACACGGAATGTCCTCGTCCCAGCACTGGTGACTCGAGTGCAACGAAGGGAGCGGACCAGACTGGACAAAGCGTACCAAACTAGACAAAGCGGACCAGACTGGACAAAGCAATCCCGTGGACGCTGCGGTTAACTCGCCGAAAACGCCAGTGGAGAACATTGCATATTCGTAAAGCACTCAAGGTGTCAAATTACACCCACGGCTAGAGCCTGTTGACTCTTGTTTACGTGCAGTGACGTCGTATTGTGCTGACTGTTAACACTGGCTTGCAAACGCACATCCAGTGGCCAGCATGATTCGTCTGACGTTGCCAAATGTAATTTCAGGTAGTCATTTTCAGTTAAATCAAAGATCAGCTGCGGACTCGACGCAGGTCTGCTGGTTTATTAAGGAAAGGAAAAGAGAACAAAATCGATAGAAAACGATGACGACATGGATTCGGTACAACAACCACCTGAACGGGAGCTCCCCGCAACAAAGCAGGACTCCTATAAGACAACACAGGAGTTAGGTGGTAATGTGCACGTGACGCAGAATGGCACATGAATGCGGCAGACACAGCACAGCGAGCTCGAAACAAAACATCAAATCACGGCCATGACATCCCGAGCAATACTGTGAAACAGAAAACTGGCAACCGTTCAACGCAACACGAGATGAGCGAACCGAACTGAACAACCACTGAAAGTCCATGGCGCGCGCAGCATGCATGTAACGACGCATGCCTCTACGAATGGAAGCGTTTGTACAGTAAAATTCAGTGCACCACACTGATGTGTGAGAAGCCCTCCACTAATCGTCCTTGCCTTCGACGCACGCCGCTCAGCACACTCTGATGATATTAACTGAGCATTCGAACGTTTGACTACTGCCGGATGTTTCACGCTGAAAACGTCATCGCAGACGGCCAACCGTGCGATCAGCCCGCAACGTCACACTAAACAGGCATCGTACTTGAAAATCGCCCGGGTACTGGAACGCCAGATTTTGTCTGCAGGCATTGCGAAGACCTTGGATGGCCGCTGACGGTGTTCGAAGTCAGCTGATGCGGCTCGCGTCAGCATGTTTACTTCTTGCTGGGGTGCCCGTGGCGAGACCAGTACTTAGCCGCTGATATTGCTGGAAAAGACCACCCCGGTTAGCGACAGGGCCAGACGGAGGCGTTGCCATGGTTAAACGCATCGCAAACTTGCTACTGAGCGGTGACGCAGCCTATGGGGGAGGGAGCTCCACGGAGCTTTGCCCCTCCCCCGCATCAGGTTGGAGCACAGTTCTTCATCACGACACTTCTAAAGATAATTCCGGGATTTGGCGATCACCAACACTATTTTGGTCTTAAATCGCACAGACACTGCCGCGGGCAGGGACATATAGAGCCCAACATCCGTAATTCGGTACCAAGGCTTGTATAGGCAAGGTATATAGTCTTGCGAACATGCGCAGCGTGCAGCTGAAACAAATATTGAGACAGCAGGGACAACCAGCATCGATAGCTCATTGATACGCTAGGTACTGTACCTATCAGCGTTTGTGGAGCCTGTTAGTCTGTTCGCAGTGTGAAGGCTCTGTCAGTGGGGTCGGGACTACCTCGGTAAAGGTTAGCCCCATCGGAAATTACGGTGGCACGCCCCTTAAATCTTGTCGCAAATTCTGGCTCCGCCACTGTTTCTGAGGAATAATTTGAACGTCAAGGTGCTAGAAGCACGCGCACAAGGCAGACGCCTTCATAAGCGGAGAGGTCGTAACATGAGGCGTGTCATGACTGCCGTCACCGCGCGGCGGGCGGCCGCAGCTGGAGGCGTGTCATGACTGCCGTCACCGCGCGACAGACGGCCGCAGCTGGAGGCGTGTCATGACTGCCGTCACCGCGCGACAGACGGCCGCGGCTGGAGGCGTGTCATGACTGCCGTCACCGCGCGGCGGGCGGCCGCGGCTGGAGGCGTGTCATGACTGCCGTCACCGCGCGACGGGCGGCCGCAGCTGGAGGCGTGTCATGACTGCCGTCACCGCGCGGCGGGCGGCCGCAGCTGGAGGCGTGTCATGACTGCCGTCACCGCGCGACAGACGGCCGCAGCTGGAGGCGTGTCATGACTGCCGTCACCGCGCGACAGACGGCCGCAGCTGGAGGCGTGTCATGACTGCCGTCACCGCGCGACAGACGGCCGCAGCTGAAGGCGTGTCATGACTGCCGTCACCGCGCGACAGACGGCCGCAGCTGGAGGCGTGTCATGACTGCCGTCACCGCGCGACAGACGGCCGCGGCTGGAGGCGTGTCATGACTGCCGTCACCGCGCGACAGACGGCCGCGGCTGGAGGCGTGTCATGACTGCCGTCACCGCGCGGCGGGCGGCCGCAGCTGGAGGCGTGTCATGACTGCCGTCACCGCGCGACAGACGGCCGCGGCTGGAGGCGTGTCATGACTGCCGTCACCGCGCGACAGACGGCCGCGGCTGGAGGCGTGTCATGACTGCCGTCACCGCGCGACGGGCGGCCGCAGCTGGAGGCGTGTCATGACTGCCGTCACCGCGCGACAGACGGCCGCAGCTGGAGGCGTGTCATGACTGCCGTCACCGCGCGACAGACGGCCGCGGCTGGAGGCGTGTCATGACTGCCGTCACCGCGCGACAGACGGCCGCGGCTGGAGGCGTGTCATGACTGCCGTCACCGCGCGACAGACGGCCGCAGCTGGAGGCGTGTCATGACTGCCGTCACCGCGCGACAGACGGCCGCAGCTGGAGGCGTGTCATGACTGCCGTCACCGCGCGACAGACGGCCGCAGCTGGAGGCGTGTCATGACTGCCGTCACCGCGCGACAGACGGCCGCAGCTGGAGGCGTGTCATGACTGCCGTCACCGCGCGACGGGCGGCCGCAGCTGGAGGCGTGTCATGACTGCCGTCACCGCGCGACGGGCGACCGCGGCTGGAGGCGCGGCCGCAGCTGGAGGCGTGTCATGACTGCCGTCACCGCGCGGCGGGCGGCCGCGGCTGGAGGCGTGTCATGACCGTGTCGGCACCTCGGACGCGCCCAGAATATCCGCACTGCTCTATGGGCACACCAATCAGCGGCGCGTGCCGTCGCAAACGGCTCATCGCCATGCACCAGCACAGCAATCTCCAACGCTCACATGATCTATACGCATTCCTCGAGCGCCGCCTCCCCCCCACGCGGATGCGCCGATGGGCGCGCCCATCCTCGCCGGCCAGCATGCACCCGTCTCGCCGCCGCGCCCCGCCGGGAGACAATCCATTGGCCGCACCCATCTGAAATTCGGCGTCGCCACCGCGGGCAGCGAGGTGGCCGGCAATTTCAATATGTTATTATGGGCTCGCGTATTCGGACATCATTGGTGACGTGTTCCTGTCAAAACTCCGCCGTCTTCATTTCTGACTAATATGCATTTCTTGGCCATTTACCACCGTAGGTAGTCATTTACCTGTTCTGGGCGCAAAATGACCACAGTAGTCGGCGCGCCCTAAAACCCCATTCAACAACAACACCGAGTGCCGAGAACTGAGAACACCACGCCGATGCCGACACCGACGGGGACACCGAGGGCGACACCCAGGCCGATATCGCGGGCGACACCGAGGGCGACACCGAGGACGACACCCAGGCCGATATCGCGGGCGACACCGAGGGCGACACCGAGGACGACACCGAGGGCGACACCGAGGACGACACCGAGGGCGACACCGAGGACGACACCGAGGGCGACACCGAGGGCGACACCGAGGACGCTGGCCGATGGCATGTCCATCGCAAAGCGACACGCCATCAAGTGTAGACACGGCCGAACAGACGCCAGCTCAGCCGGACAGACGCCAGCTCAGCCGTGCAGACGCCAGCTCAGCTGGACAGACGCCAGCTCAGCTGAACAGACGCCAGCTCAGCTGGACAGACGCCAGCTCAGCCGGACAGACGCCAGCTCAGCCGGACAGACGCCAGCTCAGCTGGACAGACGCCAGCTCAGCCGGACAGACGCCAGCTCAGCTGGACAGACGCCAGCTCAGCCGGACAGACGCCAGCTCAGTCGTGCAGACGCCAGCTCAGCCGGACAGACGCCAGCTCAGTCGTGCAGACGCCAGCTCAGCTGGACAGACGCCAGCTCAGTCGGGCAGACGCCAGCTCAGCTGAACAGACGGCAGCTCAGCCGGACAGACGCCAGCTCAGCCGGACAGACGCCAGCTCAGTCGTGCGGACGCCAGCTCAGCCGGACAGACGCCAGCTCAGTCGTGCAGACGCCAGCTCAATCGGACAGACGCCAGCTCAGCCGGACAGACGCCAGCTCAGCCGGACAGACGCCAGCTCAGCCGGACAGACGCCAGCTCAGCCGGACAGACGCCAGCTCAGCTGGACAGACGCCAGCTCAGCCGGACAGACGCCAGCTCACGGGTGCACCACGACCACGGCCAGACTATAAGCCGGCTACCATGCTGGTGCGCTCTGACGTCTGTAGTGAGCAGCTGGGGACCTGACGCTAACAGCACAGCCGCGAGGTCTTCGACAGAAGCATGCAACAGGGGCACCACCGTTAGGGTGCCTCTGACGGCCATCCTGTGTCGGAGGACGCCACCGTTAGGGCACCTCTGACGGCCACCCTGTGTCGGAGGACGCCACCGTCGGCCCAGCAGCGCAGCGAGACAGCGGTAAGCTACGACTTCGCTGCGTAGTCCCGGGCCGAGTCCCGCAGTGCCAGCGCAGGCTCGGGCGCAGCGAAGCGGGGCAACAGCACGGTCAACGGTTCGCAACGGCCATCACGTGTGTCTGACGCAAGCGCCGAATGCATGCCCCAACTGCAGGCCTCGGCTGCCGCATGCTCCCATTGCATGCCCCGGCTGCCGCACGCCCCGACTGCAGGCCTCGGATGCCGCATGCCCCGACTGCAGGCCTCGGCTGCCGCATGCTCCCACCGCACGCCTCGGCTGCTGCATGCCCCGACTGCAGGCCTCGGCTGCCGCATGCCCCGACTGCAGGCCTCGACTGCACGTCTACGGGACAGCGCGCCCCAGTGTTGGCCCAGGCGCGGCGGCTCCCTAGCCTGTGGACTTGGTGGGCCGGGACTGGAGGAGGCAGTGTGAAAGCCCACAGTTGTGGTGGGGTGGGACCGGGGGAGGCGGGGCGAAGGCCCGCAGCTTTGGTGGGGTGGGACCGGGGGGGCAGTGTGAAGGCCCGCAGCTTTGCTGGGGTGGGACCGGGGGAGGCAGTGTGAAAGCCCGCAGTTTTGGTGGGGTGGGACCGGGGGAGGCGGGGCGAAAGCCCACAGCTGTGGTGGAGTGCGACCTCACCCTCGGCGCCCGTCTCCATGCCCGTCCCGTTGGTCTTACACGGCGCCTCATATAAAATAATGTCGTCGGTCATAGGTGAACACTTGGTACGCCCCAGTGAGTGTGTCCTGGGGACATGAGGCCTGAGCATAAAACGCCACACATCTATCTGCAAGGACACTCGAACAGTACCTTGTCTCGGATTCGACCAGGCCGAAATGAGACTGTTTCGCGACAGATCGCTGTACGCCGCACGTAAAGGTAGTTGGGTGACTGTACTTTGCCTGAAGCGATAAATTATATTATGATGGCGTCAGGTACGTGCGCGCATTGGGCGCGTTTGTACTGGCACATTACTGTCGTTCTCAACGATCATCCCACTTTAAAAACGTGTTGGATGTACGTGACGCTTTGCATAGCAACCGACTGGGACTAGGAACCTCACGCCTATGCGAACAGTCTCAGACACGAGGAAATAGCACGAGTATGCAAACTTCCCAGCAACGGCAATGACGACACGTTAGATGCACCGGAAAGCAGTCTAGGAGCCAATGAAAGCGAGGCGCGAGTGCACTAGCGGGACAGGATAACCAAAGAAGCTGTAAGCGGAGCAGAATCAGCCACAGAACACTATCCTCGGAGATCATGCGAGAAGAACGGTGCATCGGCAGTTCTGGCGTGAGGGGGCAAGGGAGGGGGAACGGTACATGCCCCCTTCCCCAAGACGGCAAAAAGCAGAGCGGTTCTTTTGCGTGTTTTCGACTATCTGCTACAGCATTTGGACCGTGCCCAAGATTCGACGCTGGGTCCGCCCTCACACAGGCACGAGCCGGGCCGGGCCAGGAGCAGTGCCGGGGAGGCTGGGACCAAACCGGAAGACCCCAGAGGGGGAGGGGGAGGGTGGCACTCACGAGTCCGACTCCGAAGCCTCGTCAGAAGACTCTCGGACGAAGTCCTGGAATTGTGACCAAAGCGAGCTCCCTGCAACAGCGGCAGGAGGGGCGTGATTGGCGCGGCAGTACCCCGGCCATGAGAAGCGGTCAGTGAACGCTTCGTCACCATCATGGGCAAAGCTCCCACATGTTTTGGCGCCCGAGACCAATTTATAAGCTTCAGCACGGGTTATCGCTTTTTCAAAACGCCTCTTCCCAACGACTTCAAAACAGAACTATGCTCGGTGAACGTTCAGGGCCACACGTGTAAGTGGTGATAACTCATGGGCCTGACCCAGGCGGAGGGGAACGAGAAGAGGGAGCTCAAGGTAATGCTGCTGGCGAGCATATTTTAAGCAAGGCGATTCGACCGCTTTTAGAACTCTGCGTAGACCAGGGAGAATTTATGCAAGCCTGCATCAATCGGGGCGCTGGAGCACACTCTGCCACTCGCCAATCACCGCTGCAGCGCGGATGTGTTGGCCAATCACAGACCGTGAGCTGACGTGTCGGCCAATTGCAAGCAGGTAATTTTTCCCCGTGATTGGTCATCGCGACTTTTTCCACGTGCGAGGGATGGTGCAGCCGCCCTGTCGTGCGCCGTTTCGTCCCGGTAGGAAACGGAGGAAAAGGACTTCTCCGTAAGAGCGCAGACAAGAAGCAAGCGACGACAGAGATGGGGAGAAAATCGGCAGATCGCGGTCAGCAAAAAGAGGACGCAAGAAGCGAAGGGTACATCTTTCTAGCCGCGGTCCGTGAGCTGCTGACGCCGCCGCTACGTCAACAGTGCTGATTGGCGGCTACAGTTGGCTGATGATGACAGACGATCGCCCAGCCGTTTATTTTCCGGCGCCACCGGTGCCGAGCAGACACGACTCAAGCGACGCTACGCAGGCAAGTCAGACAGCGACAACCGAACAAACAAGGCCGCGGTCCCAGCGCGGGAGATAGTCACCCGGCGCCGACACCGCAGCATGCCGCACTCACGCCAGCCATGCTTCTCTCCTCCCCACAAACCGGGGGCGTCACCCTCGGCTCACTCACTGGCGGCCTTGCCCTGCTGGCGTGTCCTGAGCTTGAGCTGGGGTCGCCTGACCGAGTGGCTGGTACGGCCGGGGCTGACCCCCATGCGCTTCCTGCCGGTGCCGGTCGCACGCCTAGCCTCGGCCAGCAGCGCCTCTGGAGCCGGCATGGACCGGTCAGCGGACACGAGCGCAGCCGGAGGTCGGCGAACACGGGCACAGCCGGAGGTCAGCGAACACGGGCACAGCCGGAGGTCGGCGAACACGGGCACAGCCGGAGGTCAGCGAACACGGGCACAGCCGGAGGGCAGCGAACACGGGCACAGCCGGAGGTCGGCGAACACGGGCACAGCCGGTCAGCGAACACGGGCACAGCCGGAGGGCAGCTAACACGGGCACAGCCGGAGGGCAGCGAACACGGGCACAGCCGGGGGGCAGCGGAAACGGGCGCGGCAGGAGGGCAGGGGTGCGCACTGCCGTCTTCATCAGACACCGGCCGCCGACACGGCTGGGTCCGGCGTCACTCAGAGGATGTACTTTCGGGGGAGAGTAATGCCACGATATCACGTCTTATGACATCAATTTAAAACAAATGCTCTTTGAAAGAAGAAAGACCTGTCAAAGCTTTTCAACAGCCGTAAGTGTGAAACAAGGAAATCATGCACCTAGTTTTGTCACAATGCTACACAAAACTGGACGAAAAAACGGAAATATGACAGCTGACGTCAGGTGTCTTCTGGGCCATTTAGCTCTTGTTCACAATGCGCTGATCCTCAAACCAGGTGAGGTGTGCGCGCCGTTGCGCGGCAGGCATTGCCGGAAGGTCAGAGCGTTTTGCGGGGGCGTGGGATTGGGATATAGAAGACCTTGTCCACCCGCGCACCGTGCTCGTGGAATACATCAGTGAAACTGTAGTGAAAGGCATACATATTGTTCGCTTTGCCACTGAAGGCATTGCCGCGGGGAGGAGAGAGTTTTTCAACACGCTGCTGCGTCTCCTTGGACTTTTTGCACCGTCCCAGAATGGCCCCGGCTAGTGTTAACGAATATGCAAGTTTAGTGGACATCAAACAACACTAAATAAGGCGCATATATATGCACATATATATGTACATATATATATATATATATATATATATATATATATATATATATATATATATATATACACACATATATACATATATATATATATATACATATATATATATATATATATATATATATATATATATATATATATATATATATATATATATATATATATATATGGAAATATATTCAGTTCAAAAGGTACATACAAAAGGTACAAAAGGTACAAAAGGTTATTTGTATTGGAAGTCAGAAATGGTTATTATTGGTGTCTGTGCTCATGCTACTATGTAAAGTAAATAACCCAACTCTAAAAATGTCCAGAGTTTGATCATAAGAGCCTGTACCCTGAATTGGCTGGGAGGACAGATTGCCGACCCGAAAAGGGCTGTTGGGAGAAGGCCTAGCACGTTTTTCGACTTCTGCTAGGACCACTGGGCTAAGTAGTGAAGGGACACCGGGCGGAGGTCACTTAGACGTCAGCTAGGACCACTGGGCTGAGCAGTGAAGGGACACCGGGCGGAGGTCACTTAGACGTCAGCTAGGACCACTGGAATGAGTAGTGAAGGGACACCGGGCGGAGGTCACTTAGACGTCAGCTAGGACCACTGGACTGAGTAGTGAAGGGACACCGGGCGGAGGTCACTTAGACGTCAGCTAGGACCACTGGGCTGAGCAGTGAAGGGACACCGGGCGGAGGTCACTTAGACGTCAGCGGAGCGAGTGTTGGCCCACCGCAAGGGGTGTCAGGTCACGGAACGTGGGTTACGTGTGTTTCACACAAGACACGAACACGAGGACACCGACCTGAACACAGACACAAGGGCACCGACCTGAACACAGACACCAGGACACCGACCTGAACTCCGACACAAGGACACCGACCTGAACTCAGACACCAGGACACCGACCTGATCTCAGACACAAGGACGCCGACCTGAACTCAGACACAAGGATACCGACCAGAACACAGACACAAGGACACCGACCAGAACACAGACACAAGGACACCGACCTGAACACAGACACAAGGACACCGACCTGAACTCGGACACAAGGACACCAACCTGAACACAGACACAACGGCACCGACCTGAACTCAGACACGAGGACACCGACCTGAACTCAGACACAAGGACATCAATCTGAACACAGGCAGGAGAGCCCCACGACCGCCGCGCCGGCTCGGTCCAGTCGGCGGCGCTGCTCACCGGGCGGCAGAGACTCGCGCCTGTCGCCAGCCACCTCCCCCGGCTCCAGCAGCACGCGCAGCTCCTCCTCCGGCTCCTCCTGCTGGCCCTTCCTCATTTCGTCCAGTCCTGGCGGCCGAGGCAGGGTGGGGGGCAGCAGCTGCGGGGCGGTTCACGGTTCGCTGAACCATCAGCGGCAGGCTCGAGAACCTCCCGTCTCTCGGCACATTGCCGGGACGGCCCGAGAACCTCTCGTCTATGGACATATTGCCGAGCCGGCTCGAGAACCTCCCGTCTCTCGGCACATTGCCGGGCCGGCCCGAGAACCTCCCGTCTCTCGGCACATTGCCGGGCCGACCCGAGAACCTCCCGTCTCTCGGCACATTGCCGGGCCGGCTCGAGAACCTCCCGTCTCTCGGTACATTGCCGGGCCGACCCGAGAACCTCCCGTCTCTCGGCACATCGCCGGGTCGGCTTGAGAACCTCCCGTCTCTCGGCACATTGCCGGGCAGGCTCGAGAACCTCCCGTCTATCGGCACATCGCCGGGTCGGCTTGAGAACCTCCCGTCTCTCGGCACATTGCCGGGCCGGCCCGAGAACCTCCCGTCTCTCGGCACACTGCCGGGCAGGCTCGAGAACCTCCCGTCTCTCGGCACATTGCCGGGCCGGCTCGAGAACCTCCCATCTCTCGGCACATTGCCGGGCCGGCCCGAGAACCTCCCGTCTCTCGGCACACTGCCGGGCAGGCTCGAGAACCTCCCGTCTCTCGGTACATTGCCGGGCCGACCCGAGAACCTCCCGTCTCTCGGCATATCGCCGGGTCGGCTTGAGAACCTCCCGTCTCTCGGCACATTGCCGGGCGAATGTGTTCCAAAATTGTCGCATGCTGCGAACCATGTCGGATAGTTTAGCCTCAGCGCAGTGATAGTTAGGCTCTGGCATTATGTTGATCCCTACATAGCGCTGATTCGATCCGAACATTGTGTACTGCGCTTGACCACATAGGGGCACCGTGGTGTTCAAGGAAATCAGTGATTTAGCAATAATTACCGGCACACGCGCCGAAGCACCGCCGTTGAAACATGGATCCTGCTAAAACGTTTCTGCGGATTGAAAACAGATCGCTGATCACCAGCATACAGTTTGTAAACAGACGGCTCAAGAAGACAAGCGGTAAAGGTTAAAATCGCTCCGAAACCTGAGCGAGGCAGACCCTTATAGAAATTGACTCCGTCTCGCCAGGTGATACCTTCTGGCCATTAGTGTCTGTCTCCTCACTGATAAAGAAACCAATACTAAATTTAACGTCATCGTGTAGGACACCATTGTTGTCCATGTTTCCACAGCAAAATCGTTTTATCGTTGAAACATGGAAAACTGACTTAGCACAAAAAAGTTGCAGTCTGTGCGGGCGGCACCTGAGCAATTCGATGCTCATATTTTCTGTCTTCCATCCTGGTAGTCAAGTGAGCAGGTTGTTTCACCTCTTAACATACTAACTCATGCATCACAGCAGAACAACAGAACATCCCCCACACATCGCCGTGGCCATTGGCGGCCAGTCTCGTGACGTCACACTCACTGCTGGCGGCATCGTCGATGAGCTGGAGCAGCACCACCTTGTCCTGTCCCTCCAGCGCGAGCTGACCACGCAGTAGGACGATCATCTCCTCGCGCGCCAGCGCCAGCGAGCGTAGGTAGTAGGCCACCACACTGAGGAGCCGGCCAGGGGCGGGCTCAGGCGGCATGTCATGATGATGACGTGACGTGATAACGACACGAGATGATGATGACATGGCATGATGAAATGGCGTGGTAATGACGGACAGAATGCTAATATTAGACAGAGAGCGGAGAAGCAGCAGGATGTGTCGCGCGTCCCTTTGGCAGAGAGCGGAGGCAGCAGCAGGCTGCACCGCGTGTCCCTCTGGCGGAGAGCGGGGAAGCAACAGGCTGTGTCGCGTGTCCCTCTGACAGAGAGCGGAGGCGGCAGCAGGCTGTGTCGCGCATCCCTCTGGCAGAGAGCGGAGAAGCAACAGGCTGTGTCGCGTGTCCCTCTGACAGAGAGCGGAGGCGGCAGCAGCCTGTGTCGCGCATCCCTCTGGCAGAGAGCGGAGAAGCAACAGGCTGTGTCGCGTGTCCCTCTGACAGAGAGCGGAGGCGGCAGCAGGCTGTGTCGCGCATCCCTCTGGCAGAGAGCGGGGAAGTGTGTCGCGCGTCCCTCTGGCAGAGAGCGGAGGCGGCAGCAGGCTGTGTCGCGCATCCCTCTGGAAGAGAGCGGAGAAGCAACAGGTTGTGTCGCGCGTCCCTCTGGCAGAGAGCGGAGGCGGCAGCAGGCTGTGTCGCGCATCCCTCTGGCAGAGAGCGGTGAAGCAACAGGCTGTGTCGCGTGTCCCTCTGACAGAGAGCGGAGGCGGCAGCAGGCTGTGTCGCGCGTCCCTCTGGCAGAGAGCGGGGAAGTGTGTCGCGCGTCCCTCTGCACACGTGTGCAGCGAAGACAGGGCTAACGGGCTGCAGACGCAGCGCCATCAAATCGGGCGACCGGAGGGGGGGGGGGAGGGGGAAGTGTATGCGACGCAATTCCAGCACTGTCGAGCACAGGGGCACTATTCGACATTAATGCGCCACTCATCCGATGTCTTTCCCAGCCTGTCACGGCCACAGATTGCCCCACCGCACCACCCCGCACTGGTCGAGCCCCACGCTCCAGCTGCGACCTCACCCAGCCCTGAGCCGCTCCAGCTGCAACCTCATCCGACCCTGAACTGCCTCAGTTGTGACCTCACCCAGCCCTGAGCCGCTCCAGCTGCGACCTCATCCAGCCCTGAGCCGCTTCAGTTGCGACCTCACCCAGACCTGAGCCGCTTCAGTTGTGACCTCACCCAGCCCTGAACCGCTTCAGCTGTGACCTCATCCAGCCCTGAGCCGCTTCAGTTGTGACCTCACCCAGACCTGAGCCGCTTCAGCTGTGACCTCATCCAGCCCTGAGCCGCTTCAGGTGTGACCTCACCCAGCCCTGAACCGCCTCGCCACCTCCTGGGCGAACCAACCTGACCTCAGTTGATTCAGCCCGCCCCCCTGGCCTGACCTGAACACGAGCATCCAGACGATCACCACACCGGGTCGGTTGGACCAGACGGCCAGGCCGTACACGAACGTGTGGCCCTCGTCCCGCCACCTGCGGCGCGGAGAGATGCTGCTCAAGACCGCGGTAAAGCCTGCCGGCCCCGCAGGGCCGAGCGGCCTGCGTCCAGTCCACAGGGACACCATGCCAGGGGCCGGAGTATCGCTCAGATGGCGGCCGGGGGATACCCGCCATGGTGCGCTGCCTGCTGATTAGTCCTAAGGCACGGCTAAGTACGACCCTGAGCTACAGTTCTCCGTACCTGATGTGGCCAAGCTTAGCAACAGCCGGCTTTGTAATAACCTGTTCTCGGGCATCTTTGGAATCACTTTCTACCATCTGTACCAAGGCTGCGATGGTACTCGATTCGGCACAGCGGCTTTTAAAGCATTGAAAACTCCGCAAAGCTATGCTGTTAGACCTTAGAACAAGTCAAGATATGCAACATAATAACGGTTCAGATGCCTTACTAGACCTGCTCAGAGCAACGTACTTGTTCAGCGTGTCATTGACGACCACCCACGGCGCCGATCGCCCCTGGAACGGGCCGCACTTCTCCGAAGGGTGCACACTAGCGGACGGCACAGACAACTGAGTCACTCCGGACAGACGGCAGATGGCAGGGAGGGCGTACGGCGACCCCGCGCCGTGGGGAAACGTTTACTTCCGTGGCGGTGGCCAGGGAAGCGCAACAGGCAGAGAAACACTTATGTGCGCACTAAATGTACCGCACGCGCCCCAATGGCAGGCGACCGGTCCAGTTCTAAAATTACGAAGACGTAGTTTAACTGAAGTTCGGCACCACACGTTTCCCAGCTTGGCACACTCGGCCGCTATCAACACCCAGCTCCCTCACCTAAACCTCTTATTTGCATGCCGATGACCATACTAGGTGATGCCCAATGGCGTTCCGGGATCGGTACCAGCCAACGCAGCGGTACCCTCTCAAAAGAGCTCCGGCACACGAACACGCACTCGGCCCGCCTCTAGCCCCCACAGAGCGGGGCCGTCAAGGCTATTTCCTGAAGCAGCTGCCGGGCGGCCGGTGGCCAGCTGAAGCCGTAGATGCTCAGGACGGTTAGCGGTGGTGACGACGACGGCTCACTTGAAGATGATGTAGCCGGTGAAGCAGGCGGCGAGGAAGCAGACGATGAAGGCCACCACCCGGAACACGGTCTGGGTCTGCGAGGCTCGAACGGAGCGGGCCTGGGGCTGGCAGTTGTGCTCCAGCGACCACTGTGACGTCACGGCGCGGGGTCACGCAGGGACACACTAGCGGCAGCGCAGAGAGCAAGCCCTAACGTTTGGGGAGGGGAAAGCACGGAACGCCAGAGCGGCGGGGGCGAGCATCGGGCAACGGATACACAGAAACGCTGGGATTTGCCACGGCACGGGGATGGAGACGAGGCGACGCATGCATTGCGTCAGGCATCGCTACTAAAGAGCAAAAAATAACAACGAATGTGAGAGTGATACACTGGAACCGCTTAGAACGAAATCTCCCATAACTTGAATGCAAAATAAAAATATGCAGCGCATCATATTTTGTTTCTTGTGCACATATTTCACACGGAGCAAGTTTTAAAGACCACGCCAGATGAACAATCAAATCTTCAGTCCCACAGCAAGGAAGACCCCAAGGATACAAAATAACACAGAAAGCACTGCGACAGCATCTATGAAGTCGAAGGGATTTCATATATCCCATGCAGTACATGGCCTACGTCGTACACTTGCCCCTAACAATACCTTTGTAGAAAATGCAGATAGTCTTGTGCTTCAGACAAATATTCCTTTCAAACAGAGAATAAGCGCTACCAATCCCCCCCCCCCCCCCCGCCACACCAGCGAGAGATCTTTACATGCGAATACACCCAAGGATTTCACGAAAAACTTGGGCCGCCAGCTCCCAGCGGGCTCACCTTCCGAGCGTAGAAGGTGATGATGAGCTTGAGGGAGCCCATGAGGGAGAGGACGGGGCTGAAGTAGGTGCCCGTCCACACCAGGGTCTGGCCGTAAATCAGGAACATGGTGCTGCGCGGAATGTCAAAGTGCGGCTCCTCCGCCCACATCAGGCCTTTCCTGAGGGACAGGAGCCGGGGAGCAGGTCAGAGGCGCATGGTCATGCAGGAGGGAGAGGGGGAGGAGGACGTGGCGAGGATTAGGGGAGGCGTCGGACGTGGTGATGGAAGAGAGGGCGAGCAGGAAAGGCCGAGGCTTGCACAGGGACTGCTGATGACAGCTGTGTCTTATTGTTTTGTATTGCAGTGCTAGGGGTTGTTACAGGGGCCGCCGGCCAAGGATCTGCGGGCGCCAGTGCCTCGGCTCGCAGGGGCTAACCAGGCGCCCTGGTGACCAGCCGAGGCCCGGCCCCTTGATGGTGTCAGGAGGCAGACACTGCACCCGACAGCTCCTTCTCAACGTCCGTCACGTGGCCCGTCTGGCTCCAAGCCAGTGCCGCGAAGATAGGACACGTGACCGGCCGGCTTTCTCGTGTGGAGTCCTCACGAGGCGTCCGTAGGATCACAGATCCGGGCCCAAGCCATATGTTGGCAGGCTGCCCCGACTGATCCGCGGGGCAGCCTCCACAATGACCAGGATCCGTTCACCGCTACCTGCGGATCCAGCGGGGTAAGGCGAGACCCAGGTAAGGCTGGGAAGGTGGGGCCGAGGGGCTGCTTATCCATACACGGAACAAGTCAGGGCCCCTGCGGGAGGCACATTTAATCTGGCCCCTTCCTTTGGCCGGAAGGGTGTTTTACAAGTCTCTCCAACGACCAGCAGGATCTGTGGAGTACACAATCCCCCCACCACGGGAAGGCGGTGCATCACGGGGGGCCAAACACGCTCAGGCCGCCTGAGTAGTTGTTAAGCCAGCTGCCAGCTGGCTGGCCAGCTGGCAGTTCGTCAGCTGGTCGACCAGCTGACCGCCGCGGCCAATGGCAGCGTTGCCGTGCCGCTGCCCCGCGTCCCGCGCGCAGTAGTAACGCGCCGCCCACTCACTGGAACGAGAGCTTCCTGACGCCCTCCAGCCCGATCTCGACGACCAGCGTGAAGATGAGGTCCACGAGCATGAGCTGGTACAGCTCCGAGCCCACCTGGTCCTCCCAGCACTGGCCGCAGGGACGGCACGATCAGCTCAGCACACGGCCGGCGCGCTCAAGCCAGCCAACACGGACCAGCGCATCCCCAGCGCTGGCCACCAGACACAAACGTCAGAACTGGGCTGTCACAGAGAACAGGCGCCAGGTGCCACGAGTGGGCACCAGGGGCGGCTGATCAGGACTCAACAAACGGTGAGAAGGCTTTAGTTGAATGACTATCCGCCATGGTTCACAATATGATCACAGTTGCAACATCACCTTGCAACTTACCTAAAACAATGCAGTATTCACATCAAGCACTGCCATTGGCTTTGATTTCAAGAAAATTCTTTCCAAGCTTAACACAAAGAGACAGCCATGTTTTCGCACAGCGTCTCTATCACGTGACATGTTTCGTATCACGTCCATGATATCGCCACATTCATCCCCAGGCCGGAAACTTCTGTGAACATCGCACAGATCCAGCAAGGGTGCAACCGGAAGGCACGCACGTGCGGTCGGCCAAGAGGGGGCAGGATCGGGAGGCACGCGAGTGACCGGAGGTGAGGCCTGTCAGGTTTGGCCGCGGGAGAAGCCCGGCCAAGGACAGAGTGATCCTATGTCAGGGAGGCACAGTTGGCCGGGCGCGAAGCGAGACTAGCGACCGGGCACGTTAACCAAGGTCAAGGTGGGGGTGGTCAGCCGGAAAGGAGTCAGCTGAGAGGCCAGTCACGTGACCGGAGGTCGAGCCTCGGCGGACACGTACCCGCTGGCGCACCCGGCTCTTGTCGGCCGCCTCCGTGTTGACCTTGTGCACCCAGTAGATGACGATGGTGCCGAGGATGATGATGGCCATCACCACCATCCTGGCAGCGGTGGCCGGGCGTCAGCCGAGACACGCGGTGGCATCACACGGCATGCAAAAGGCCTAGGTCGGCGCGAGAACGGCTCGCTGAATAACAGCAACATTATAAGCATTTAGGGCCAATCAAACAAACACTGTCACTTGTCAGGCTGCATCCGCAGTCCTGGAGATGCATCCAAATAACCTGACGTCATGGCACGAGCAGGGAGCCTGCATAATAGTAAACGTTCAGTAGTTTGTAGCGCATGCACTCCAGCTACTTCAGCCAATCACGCGATATGTTTTGCGGGTCACGGGAATTCACTGCTCAACATTCCACATTTCCTGAGGGCAGACCACTGGAAAATGCAACCGTGGTCTGGCTAAGCGGCATGACTCACTGACCAGACCTGACCTGATGAGCCCAGCCTGACCTGATAAGCGTGATAAACATAAGGGCGCGCGCGTGCGTGAAGTTTTCCAGCTGGCCGAGCAGCTGGAAGAGCAGCGGGAACAACGCCATCGAGCTGCTGATCATGAGCGCCGACGCCAACAGAGATATCGTGTTGCCCTCCTGTCCCTCACTCTGTCGGAGGAGAGAGACGGTGCGTGGCCCGACGTCTTGAGGTATAGTTTCGATCGACACAGGCGCGAGTTTGGCATGGGTTCGGGTTGTAAAATTAGCAGTAAAAAGTCACGAAACCTTCACCAACAATCCCTAACAAGCGAGTTCCTTGCACTGGTTTTGTCCATTTTTTCTCAGACTTGGGAAGGAGGGGGGGGGGGGGGGGGTTGGAACCTAAATGGGGTAGATGATGGTGATGGATAGGTAACTACGCCCCTAGAGCGACCGGTTGATGCTGCTATTTTCAGCCAAATGGAGTTGTTGTGAGTAGTCGTGACACTCGATGCAGCACATTTGTTTCACCGTCAAATGCGTCCTGTGATGCTGGCTCCATGATTCCTCGAAAAGAAACAGCTTGGTCTTAAAGCCGCGCTCCTCGGATAGTGTTTGGCAGGCCACACCCAGACCAGACCATTCCCACTGGGGCGGACTACCAACTGCGGTTAACGATGTTGACGGCTCGTAGCGACGTCACGCGGCGTGCGCTCGGCTTCGGTCGGGTGCCAACTAGATCCGCGGAGTCGCACCGCACAGAATAGTGATCGACCGGCGTGCGAGACCTTCCCAGCACTTTGCCGTCACACACACACACACAGCGACAGGGAGCCGTGCCGCTGCGAGCCGAGAGAAATTGCGTGCGTCATCCCGCGTGTACCAGGCACAACCAGCTACCTCAGTCAGCCATGGATACATCAGTGACCGACTAGCTGGCGGACCAACACGGCAAGCCAACGGACCTGTTGCCTAGCGCGTGTGACATCAGCTCCGTCTCACAGCCCGTGGAAGATACAGTCGCCTCGAGGCAGCTTACCGTGCGGCTTCGGACACACCAAACGCACAGAGCTCCACAGGGAGGGAAATCTACCATGGAGCTCCACGGGAAGGGGAACCTACCACAGGGCCCCATGGGGAGAGAAATCTACCACAGAACTCCATGGGGAGAGAAACCTACCATAGAGCTGCACAGGGAGGGAAATCCACCACGGAGCTCCACATGGAGGAGAATCTACCACAGAGCTTCACAGGAAGGTAAGTCTACCATGGAGCTCCACACGGAGGGAAACCTACCACGGAACTTCACAAGTAGAGAAATCTACCACGGTCATTGGTGGTATATAACGACTTTGCATGACACGATAAGAATTGCTCAGTAGCATGTATATGGCTAGCAGGCTACGAGAAAATCCTCCCAGTGCCCGCAACAGTCGGGTGGCGGGGTCAGGGTTCACGTACCAAACGCGCGAGCAGCGAGGTCACCACGGCTCTGACGCCACGATAGCAAGCCACTCACGCGACAACACTGACCAACAACACAGCCTGTAACCTGAACAAGTGCCGGGGTACAGTCTCCGCCTCACGGAGCCCCCTCGCCCAGCTGTCACCTGGCGGCGTCAGTGAACCACCACGAGAGCCGCCAAACAGCCCAACGCCGCCAAACAAAACGGCCGGGGCGTCACGCACCGCATCCATGCTCATGACCAGCCAGGTGAGGGCCGAGATGGCGGCCAGCACGCCCAGCACCAGCAGGTTGCTGGCCGTGCGACCCAGCGCCGTGTAGAGGCTGGCCCGGCGGCGGCGCGCTGCCGCCTCCTCGTCCTCCGGAGTCGCCGCCGCCTCCGCCGCCGCCTCCTTCTTCTTTAGCTTCTTCTGCGGACAGGGTGCGGTTTCTTCCTCAGTTTGGAGTGGGGGTGGGCTGTAACCACTCACCCCACTTCCATTTACGAGGAAAGTGAGTCAAATCCGTGAAGAAACCCGCTCGTTTGCATGTTTTGAAGGTAGGTTGCCTTATTTTTCACGGCTCATCCCCTTCCCTCAACTCATTTTGCGAGACTATGCGCCTGACTGCGGCGGTCAGGTCAGGGGACTACGTCCCTGCCTGCGACGGTCGGGTCACGAGACTACACCCCTGTCTGCGGTGGTGAGGTCACGAGACTACGCCCCTGTCTGCGGTGGTCAGGTCACGAGACTACGTCCCTGCCTGCGGCGGTCAGGTCACGAGACTACGCCCCTGTCTGCGGTGGTGAGGTCACGAGACTACGCCCCTGTCTGCGGCGGTCAGGTCACGAGGCTACGCCCCTGTCTGCGGCGGTCAGGTCACGAGACTACGCCCCTGCCTGCGGCGGTCAGGTCACGAGACTACGCCCCTGTCTGCGGTGGTCAGGTCACGAGACTACGCCCCTGCCTGCGGCGGTCAGGTCAGGGGACTACGTCCCTGCCTGCGGTGGTCAGGTCACGAGACTACGCCCCTGACTGCGGCGGTCAGGTCACGAGACTACGTCCCTGCCTGCGGCGGTCAGGTCACGAGACTACGCCCCTGTCTGCGGTGGTGAGGTCACGAGACTACGCCCCTGTCTGCGGTGGTCAGGTCACGAGACTACGCCCCTGCCTGCGGCGGTCAGGTCAGGGGACTACGTCCCTGTCTGCGGTGGTCAGGTCACGAGACTACGCCCCTGCCTGCGGCGGTCAGGTCAGGGGACTACGCCCCTGTCTGCGGCGGTCAGGTCACGAGGCTACGCCCCTGTCTGCGGCGGTCAGGTCACGAGACTACGCCCCTGCCTGCGGCGGTCAGGTCAGGGGGCTACGCCCCTGTCTGCGGCGGTCATGTCAGGGGACTACGCCCCTGTCTGCGGCGGTCAGGTCAGGGGACTACGCCCCTGCCTGCGGCGGTCAGGTCAGGGGACTACGCCCCTGTCTGCGGTGGTCAGGTCAGGGGACTACGTCCCTGCCTGCGGCGGTCAGGTCACGAGACTACGCCCCTGTCTGCGGTGGTCAGGTCACGAGACTACGCCCCTGTCTGCGGTGGTCAGGTCAGGGGACTACGCCCCTGTCTGCGGTGGTCAGGTCACGAGACTACGCCCCTGTCTGCGGCGGTCAGGTCAGGGGACTACGCCCCTGTCTGCGGCGGTCAGGTCAGGGGACTACGGCCCTGCCTGCGGCGGTCAGGTCAGGGGACTACGCCCCTGTCTGCAGCGGTCAGGTCACGAGACTACGCCCCTGTCTGCGGTGGCCTGGTCAGGGGACTACGTCCCTGCCTGCGGCGGTCAGGTCACAGAACTACGCCCTTGTCTGCGGTGGCCAGGTCAGGGGACGTCGGCGAGGACGCTGTGGTGTCTGAGGTGGTGTCGTGAGCTCGTGGGCGTCGGGAGTGGGTTCGGGACCTACTCGTGGAGCTGGCTACAGTGTCTGCATGCGTCCCGTGAACACACCGCGGGCTTTGAACAGGTGAGAGCAACGAGAAACGTCGGCAAGGGAAGGCCGACACCGCCGCCAGGCATGCTAATACAGGCGAACAATGGAACTCGGACGATCGGAGTCTGGAACCGTCATGTTTTTAGATATCGGGGGGGGGGGGGGGGGAGGCGGACTTGAGACAGATGACCAGAGATAACCTGGATGTGACCATGATCCCGTCACGCTGTTGTTACTGTTAGGGCTTTGCGAAGCGCTGAGCTGTCTGCACGCTGAGGCTGTGTGGCGACGCCCGCCCCTCCCCTGGCACAGCGGGCAGTCGAACCCCGTACCTCCGACTTCTCAGACGCGCTGATTAACCACTGCACCACTGAGACTCTGTGGTCTCGTGATCAAAGGCTCGCATCGCGTCAGCCGCGAAAAGCCCCGATTCACGCGCACGCGCCATCCCCGCTACCGTCACGATGATGGTGGTGATGATGGCGATGACAACACCATGATCAACACTGCCACCACCACCACCATTGTTCGCCTGGAGGGAGCAGTGGATGCCGTGTCTCTTGCTCAACGGCAGGGAGCTGTAGGTGCCGTATCAATTGATCTCACCTGGAGGGAGCTGTAGACGCCATGTCTGTAGAGCTCACCTGGAGGGAGCTGTAGACGCCGTGTCTGTTGAGCTCACCTGGAGGGAGCTGTAGACGCCGTGTCTGTTGAGCTCACCTGGAGGGAGCTGTAGATGCCGTGTCTGTGGGAGGGAGCTGTAGATGCCGTGTCTGTTGAGCTCACCTTGAGGGAGCTGTAGACGCTGTGTCTGTAGAGCTCACCTGGAGGGAGCTGTAGACGCCGTGTCTGTTGAGCTCACCTGGAGGGAGCTGTAGACGCCGTGTCTGTTGAGCTCACCTGGAGGGAGCTGTAGACGCCGTGTCTGTTGAGTTCACCTGGAGGCAGCTGTGGACGCCGTGTCTGTTGAGTTCACCTGGAGGGAGCTGTAGACGCCGTGTCTGTTGAGCTCACCTGGAGGGAGCTGTAGATGCCGTGTCTGTAGGAGGGAGCTGTAGATGCCGTGTCTGTTGAGCTCACCTGGAGGGAGCTGTAGACGCTGTGTCTGTAGAGCTCACCTGGAGGGAGCTGTAGACGCCGTGTCTGTTGAGCTCACCTGGAGGGAGCTGTAGACGCCGTGTCTGTTGAGCTCACCTGGAGGCAGCTGTAGACGCCGTGTCTGCTGAGTTCACCTGGAGGCAGCTGTAGACGCCGTGTCTGTTGAGCTCACCTGGAGGGAGCTGTAGATGCCGTTCCGTTTGAGCTCGGCCAGCTGTTGGGAGGTGACCCGGGCGTCCCAGCCAGCCAGTATCAGGTTGGCGGTGGTGCCGCTGGTGTCGGTCGACACATCGATGAAGTTCTTGCGGTAGGAGCGGGCCGTGCTGAAAACAGACGGCGTGGGGCAGCAGCGGCCAGGAGCGGGACGCAGCGACGCGTAATCACTGACGGGATTTCCGTGATCATCCTACGTGTGACAACCAGGACGTGATCCTTACCGTGTTCACTGGCGTTGTCACCGTGAGCATCTTAAGCGTGATAATCATGACGTGATCCTAAGCGTGCTCACTGAAGTGATCACCGTTGTAACCCTTATCATGATAACAATGGCGTGATCCTAAGAGTGTCCACCGAAGTGATCACCCTGATCATCCTCAGCATGGCAACCATGGCCTCATCCTAAGCGTATTCACCAAAGTGATCACCGTGATCATCCTAAACTTGATAACCGCAGCGTGATCCTAAGCACAGCTTGATACGCCGAGTGCCATCAAATGACACAACACGTGACGTTTAATCAGTACCTCCTGACCTATTGAAGGTCGATACCTCAGCATGGGAACTCTGAACTTGCAATGCCGAAAAACCAGGAGTTCAAGCCTTTTTTGCTTATGTCAAGTGCATCACTTCTCTCTTCTCACATTGTTTCTGATGCAAGCACGAGACAAGCCCTGATACACAGCGGTTGGATCGAAGTATAAGCAATAGAGCACTGCACGGCTTACCCGACCCACCCTAACCTAGAACTGGTTGGCATGACCAAGGCCGACCTAAGGTGGAGTTGCGTTACTCCGACACGTTGAGGCAAACTGAAGGGCCTCGCCCCAGGCCATGTTTTCAAAAGTCAGCTCCTTTTTATCTCAATGAATGACGTTCCACGTGAGGCAGACTTTGAACTCAAACTTCTAAAATGCAAGCAGACGAACAATAAAAGAGCATCACAGTGCCAACGGACAGCCAAAAATTACACGAACCATCACGATATACTCTGGGCTGGTTAACCTTACCGACGGGTGACTGAAGCGCACACCACCCACCTGCTGGCCAGCATGATGAGCTGGAAAGTGATGCATAAGGTGGTGATGTTGAGGTAGGCTGACGGCATGTAGTACGAGCTGCCGCCAGCCATCGGGATGCGGCCGCGGTAGTAGTTGCCGTAGTACATGGGGGTCGTGAGGAACCAGCCCTGCCGCGCAGACGCCAGGCGAGCTGCTGCCATGATCGGGTGACAGTCTCGGGTTACGACACGACATGCCGCGGCGCGTGGCACACACAACGGAACAGCGAGCACTTCCTCATGTGGGTTCGACTCCCGCATAAGGCGCCGTAGTTCTCCGACGAGCAGAGAACCTTGACAAAGGCGACAGCCGAAACAAGTGTGGTGCTGCAGAGATCCATGAGAACGGCTCGGCTGACCAGCTGCGGCGGAATACAGCACGGATGGGACCAGCGGGCGACGCGATCGGAGCATACGCAGCACACACGCCGGACAGTGAGTGAGACGAGAACAGGCAGACGCACAGCTGACGAAGGGCGGCGCGGGGGGAGGGGCGGTCTCCGTCTGACCGCGTCTTCCACCTTCTCACCGGGTTTCCCACCTTCTGACAGCGTTTCTTACCTGGCCGGTGAGCAGGTTGCCAGGTGAAAACGACGGAGCCGGACGGGCCATGGTGCCCAGACGATGGGACGGCGTTCCCACTGCGACACACCACACCCGGCCGCGCGACACAGTGAGCACCCAGCTGGGGCACGGGGCACGGACTAGGGCACGAACTAGGGCACTGCACATGACGGCTCGTGTTGACGACACACTAACACTTCATGTCAATACGTAATGAGCCACTTTGAGGATGTGCATGGACCAAATGGATGCGACAACGGCTGGACAACATAGAAGAACACAACGATAGAACTGAGGATCAAGCGCACTGTTCTATTTCGTGCTCGGTCGCAATTCGTTCGCATGCTTGAAATATAATTATTCACACCAAGCATAAAAGGGAACGCGTGCATGCATCACTGGCAATGCCGTTGTATTTCACAGTACTGTAGATTTGGGGCTACCGAGATGCTTGAAATAACAGGCTCATGAGTGAAAACTGAAGGCGAGAAATATCTGCGACAAAAAAAACAACACCTACCGAGGAGGTTCCAAGAAGAGAAAGAAGATAAATAGCGGGAAGAGGATTACATGAACTGCGTCTAAGAGCTAAGAGCTAAGATTTGAAGGTAGAGTTGAAGGAACTGCTCAAGAAAACGAGAACACGCCGAAAAGGAGAGGATAGCAAGACGAAACGTATCATCGGAAAAGATCGAAAGCACGCACACAATGTGAAAAATACAGAAGCTTGACATTCCAAACTCCCACAACAGCAGTCAGAAGATCGCAAACGGACAGAATCAAAGAGCACCACACAAAAGACAGATGATAATGCGACACAACAAGTCAAGGAGACAAAGCAAGGCCGAAGTGCAACAGAGGAGGCGACACGAAAAGTCCGGCAGAGCCGCGCGTCCACAGCCGGGGACAGCCTAGCATCTCGCCGCAGCCGGGGACAGCGACCACAGCGGACCACGTGACCACAGACCACAGCTGAGAACAGCGGCCTCGGCCGACCACGTGACTACAGAGAGGACCGTCCGAGAGGCCGGAGCCGGAACCACCGCCCCCGGCAGCGCCCACCGCCGATGGTAGTACCCACCGCCCATGGCGCTACGTCGAGCCTCGTCCGGGTCGTTGAAGTCCAGCACCAGCTGCGGCAGCACCAGGAACAGCACGCTGCCGGGAGTGGGGTATGTGTCCGCGGCGGCGGCTCAGGTGGGCGGAGGGGTGAGGCGGCTTTGGTACTCTGGGCTCATTACCGCAAGGGTTATATGTATATCTATCTATATGTATATATATATATATATATATATATATATGTGTGTGTGTTTATATGTACATATATAATATATGTATATATACATACACATATATCTTTTGCGGGCATACCATGCTCACAAAATACCTAGTCGGTATGAAAATACGACAGCAGCACTAGCATTTGATTACGACGATCTCAGATTAACACTTAAGCCAGATCTCGCTCGTCTAAACAGCTGTGCACCCGGGCGCTACTGACCTGACCAGCAGCACCTCCAGGTTCACCACCAGCAGCCAGCGCATGAAGCGGAAATAGAGACCCACGTTCTGGCCAAAGTTGCCCTCGATGCTCTTCAGCTGTTCGTGCCAGATGTGCACCAGGTCGTGGACATCCGCCAGATGCCGCTTCGTCTACGGGGAGACGGATGCCTGGACAGCTGCAGTGTCCGAACACGGCTGACCGCGGCCGCCGTACCTTCAGGTGGCAGCTGCTGGAAACAGCTGGTGTGGCCGTCTGGACAGCTCCAGTAAAGCATAACGGAAAAAACATAACAGAATGAAATAAACATTTGACGAGAACTGACGTGACCGTTTCCACGCTGCCTATGCTATCTTTACCCCTCCCCCTCCCCCCCCCCCCCCCCCAATGCCCTCTGTTGTGACCATGGTCACATGTAGCCGCTTCGCTCAGCACCCCAGCACAGAGCCCGTCGCCGCGCCATCCCCACGGAGAGCCCGGGTGGCCGCCAGAGGGGCCGCGGCGAGCGCCGCCGGCTCACCAGCACCAGACCGCGTCCGAGTCTGTCCGTTAGCACCTGGAGCCGGGTGCGGCTCTGCACGCTGCGCTGGTACTCCAGGTTCTGCTCCAGCCGCTGGCGCACCAGCCGCTTCACCGTCAGACTGACGGTCAGCTCGCGCAGCCGCTTGCTGGGGCGGGGTCAGAGCGGGGTCGCGGCGGGGTCAGGGCGGGGTCATCATGGGTTAGGGCAAGGTCAGGACGCGGTCAGGCGGGATGAGAGCGGGGTCACGGCACGGTCAGGGTGGGGGTCACCGCGGGTTAGGGCAAGGTCAGGGCAAGGTCAGAGCGCGGCCAGGGCGGGACCAGAGTGGGGTCACGGCACTGTCAGGGCGGGGCCACTGCGGGTTAGGGTAAGGTCAGGGCGGCATCATCGCGGATCAGGGCGCGATCAGGGCGGAACTGCCGCGGGCCAGGGGAGAGGATCGATACCGACGGCCGGCCCGTCAGCTGATCACGTCAGCTGGTTATGGTCTGCCGGTCAGCCGGTTATGTGACGGCCGGTCAGCTGATCACAGCACCATCAAATGCACAAAGTCGTGAGTATTTGATCGTGTGGTTAATAGTTGTATGCAAATAACGATTCTGCACAACCGGGTGACATTGAAACAGTTCATTATGCGTTTTAGTTGACAACACCGCAACATGTGATGAATATGGCACCCTTCTTATGGTTCGTCTGCCGTTCTTTACTCACTTTTTTCGCATCTCAGTTAAAACGGACTTGCCATGCGATTGCAGTTCCATCTCGATGACGTCCACGAGGCTGGACACATCCTTTTCATACCTGAAAATTGACCCCGGCTACGAACCCAGCCACAAATCCAACTCAACACTCAGCCACAACCACGATGAGTCTGAGTCCGCCTGACGAAGCGGAGCGTCCCACCGCGCGAGGTGCGGCATGACAGCTAAACCCGGCATCCAGCTCACGAGGGACCGCATCCCACCTGACACGCCACCTCCCCGCACCTGAGGAGCGAGGGCACCCAGTGTCCAGCTAACAAGGGACCCCACCCCACCTGACGCGCCACCTCCCCGCACCTGAGGAGCGAGGGGGCCCAGCGTCCAGCTAACAAGGGACCCTACCCCACCTGGCGCGCCACCTCCCCGCACCTGAGGAGCGAGGGCGCCCGGCATCCAGCTCACGAGGGACCGCATCCCACCTGAGGAGCGAGGGCGCCCAGTGTCCAGCTAACAAGGGACATCCCCCCACCCGGCACACCTCCCCGCACCTGAGTAGCGAGGGCGCCGTGTGGACGTGACTGCTAGAAACGGTCACCAGCTCGTCGGGCGCCGACGGGCCGCCGCCGCCGCCCGTCGACGACGTCTTGCCGTACGCCAGCGTCGCTGCCGGGTGGAGGAGGGGAGGCGGCAGGTTACCGGCTCAGTACCGTGGGATGCTACCAGAAACAGAGACAGTACAGCGTTGTTGATAAACGCGCAGAACATGTATTCCAACATGGAAAGTAAAATAGAATTGCACCGTGTTTTAAAACGTGACACCGCCTCGCAAAGCGGAAACTTTCTTTTTGGAATTTGCCGATGGCCACTTCCACGAAGGATTTTTTGTGACGGCGAACATGACGAAGCTCTGCCTAGTGACGGGAGTTTTGTGCTCTCTGCCAGTCCTCACGTTCTGAATGAGCTTTGAGACGTTCTAAACGGCTGACACGAACTCGGTGGCATTTACCACGCGGCCGTTCTGCAAACGTGCCTTCGAACTCAAATGTGCACTGTTCCACGTCCCGAGAAACATCTGCTGCCCTAAAAACACAAACGTCTTATTCTCACGGCAGCACACCTATTTTGCTGGCGGAGAGCGCCATTTTGGACGGCATCTGCTTCATCATGGCGCGCGCAAAGCCGCAGTTCTCCAGATTGGGCTGCTGCTGGCCCTGCACGTGGCCAGAGTTGCCAGATATCGACCCGCCTGTGGACGTCAGCAGACCATCACGTCACGCCACATCAGCCGTCACATCAGCCATTATGCCGCATCAGCCGTCGCGTCACATCAGGCGTTACGTCACATAGCATCATCCGTCACGCCACATGCGAGCTGTCACGTTGCCATCATGCAAGTCCAACGCAGCCTGCCATGACGTCACACGGTCAGTGCCCCCTGAGTCACAGTGCAGGGTGATAGCTGCACAAGCTGCGTGACCGTCGCACGTCACACCGGTTGTCACGTGACACACGGCCGTCACACTGCAATCGACCGCCACGTCGTGTCCCCATAGGTACGTTGAACCCTTTTGCACGTTTGCACTTGTTCGACCCGCGCTTAATTTAGCCCCGCCGCATTACAAAGAAATCTCATTCTAAAATGCTCGGAAACAGGACAAACAATGATGATATCCGTGGCTTGTATTCAAATGTTCAGTAACCGTCACCGTAGAAGCATTTTCGCTTCGTTCTCATGTAGCAGGTCGCCATTCTACGTTTGCGCTTTGGTTCCATGGAACCCAGTCGTAATGTACCATAAACGTGAACTAATAAACTCGAATATGACGATGAAATGAAAACGTCTCCGATGTAACAAGCCGTAGCTTCTTTTGCCCTGACAACAAGCCTTGTGTTTCGCTCCTGAATTTGTATCGTGCATTTCAGATTAGATTAGACTATCAAGGTAGGTTCATGTCTAATCAAATGCTTGCTTGAAAAGGTCATGTTTAACTCAGCACGAAAAGTTCGCTTTGCATAACATGACCCATGACTTAAGCTATATCTTAAGCATAAGCTATATCTCTGGGTCTAGAATGCGCCTCACATGTCACATCTTCCAGCGTAGCTTATCCATCAAACGCGCCACTCGCCACATACCACATACGTTAGCTGCCATGTATGTACGGTTACATGCACACTCATCTGACGCGACCTCATTGGAAAAGTTCGTAGCCCGACACTGGCGAAGAATCGCCACACACGTGTTTCGCTTCGGCCCAAGCAGCTTTAGAAACGCTGATAGGTAACGTACAATATCCCTGTCACCCCATCCCAGCACACACATCCTCGTGCGAGAGCGGCGTGCGGGGGAGGGGAGGGCGCCTGTCGCGCCTTCCCCGGCCGGAAACGCCTACCGCGCGCCTGTCGGGCCGCCTCCACATCCTGATCCTGCTCCTGGGCAGTCGAGGCGCGGCGGGCGCTCTCCTCTGGAGCCAGGCTGAAGACGGCAGAGGCATCTCATCAGCAAATGTGCGACCTGAATAAAGTCGCGACCGATCGCCCGTCGCATGCAGAGGTTCCCAATGCTATAAGTGTCTGGAAAATTATACCAGAAGCATCCGTTAGCATAGGCAAGTGGTTCCCATCTCCGGTGCACAGGCGCGAAGCTTCATCTTGGCCGGGGTGGGCCTTTGGGACATTCCATCCAGCAACTTAAACATAGCCGGGCTTATGGCGGGAAACGGAACAAAATGAAATCCTGGGGCACGGGAGAACGTCTCCAATTACGTCATATGGTCTCCACAACGCAATACTTTAAGCTCAAAAAGACAAGCCGCGTCTTCTCAATGGCGGTGGAATTGAACGCAAGATGGGGGGGGGGGGGGGCAAGCACGGATAATTGCGAAGCTGGAAAACGCAATCATTACGAAGGAAAGTCAGCAACACGTCAGGAAACGAGGCATTTCTCAGGAAGGCATGTCGCGGCACGGACACGCTGCGAATGAGTTGAATGTCATTTGATCGGGCAACTCTGGAATGTTCCCAATATTGTTCTGTTGAGAACACCTCTGAAGCCTAGGGCTGTGGTGCAGGCAGGGGAAGGCACAGGGGGCACGTCCCCCGCCCCGTCCTAGGTTCCACGGGTCCTTTGGGCCCCTTGGAACGTACCATTAATGACCCAACTGGGGCCCACAGAGTCTGAAAGGCCGGCCGGAGGTCGCATTCAGGGGCTCAGGCATCAAGGTGCTCCGAGTCGGTATGGGCTCGAGGACCCACTTCCCAATCAGCTATATAGCCGGTGCCAGTAATTTACACTGGTCGGGGCATTGCATCTGCCACGGGCCCACAGCACCTAACAGAGGATCCTGTGCTCGCAAGGGCCCCGAGCCGACCAAGGGAGGTGTTCGATGGCGCCCAAAGAAGGGCACGGGCGGTCCACCGCAACCGACGATCAAGGGCTGGGCCGCAGGGCATAAGGGCCCGATGGACTGGCTGAAGGTTACATAAAAATCGCGTCCCGTAGGGTCGTGACCTGAAATATTAGTTAGAGGTCCTCGTCCACCGCTTGAAGAACCCCTGAGACAATGCGGATATCTAAGTCGGTCACAGACCACGAACACCGAACAATCAACTCCATGCTCGTTTGAGCCCGTGAGAGCCATTTCTCAAGGAGGAACGAGACCGGGGCGCGCGATTTACAATGTTCGAGGTCTCTGATTCAACGAAGGGCTCCTGTGCCAGTTATTTGGCCACTTGCAGCCATCAGGGATGTTGTTGCATCAATAAGCACCCATGTATCGATCCGGGGTCACTGGTACGGCTCGGAAGGCCTCCCGCGCCACGGAGCGGACCAATGTGATATGATGTGTCTCTCCGAGCGGCTCCGGATCGGTAAGGGGTCCCGCCCCGTGTCGCCAGAATGACGGCCGGAAGGCACGCGACGGCAGGACAGAGTGGCCGTTCAGCCCTTCGCTGGGAGCAATAATATGTCCCGCAGTGTTCTACATACGGGGGCCGCTTTCCCGGAAAGAGATGGGGGGTATCATTAGTGTTCAATGGAGTGGGTCGAAAAGAGTTGCACAAGGCCAAGAAAATGCACAAGGCCATGCCATGTTTGCTCGAGAACATTATTTTGCAGAATCAACTAGTGAAAGAAATAACATCAAAGGGTTTGAGCCTGCGCGTCGCACGCCGATAGTGTAACCTGCGTGAACAACTGTGCGTCTAGGAAACCAGAGGTGCGGGGTTAGATTCCCCGCGGCGCCCACCCTTCCTGTCAGAGTGAGAGGTAGGCGACGTCATAGGCATCAGCAGCTGAGTGCGTCTTAAAGCCCCAATGACACATCCGCAGTCTCGGGAAGCAAAGACGACGATGGCCTGGTTTCCCTCAGACCGAAAGGCGTTGGCCAATGCCAGTAGCGCCAAGCGGCGGGCGCCGTGCATGCAGCAACGCCCATTGTAAAATAATGTTTCTGAATGTCCTTCAAAATTAATTTGTAACAGAGGTCCTGCATTTACTGTTCCAGTTCCACCACCAGATTCCAGCACCTCTTCTCCGTGTTGTAAGGGCAATCCGTAACAAGCATCAATCTAAAAATCGCACAGGTGAAATATGCAACTGGAATATCTCTAACTGCACGAGTTTATGACCTAAGGCCTTCAAAGCTACTGATTTCAAATGTGTCCTCATTTTCACCACGCATTGATCACGAACTATGTTAGCCGTGGCGCCGACGCTGCGCGGCCTATGGAGACTACAATGCCCGGCGTCAAGGCTTTTATTGCCAAAATATGCGAACGCGCGTGTTAAAAACCCCGCTACGTAATTTAAATCACTAATCGATTCTGGCTGAATGTTGAACGTTCCCAGGCACACATGGCTTGGTGTCGTTAATACCAAGATAAAAATTTGGCAGTTTCTGAGTTCTATCGGTATACAAATAGTCAAATGGACCATTGTAAAATGAAGAGCGCCGGCGATTGATTCCGTGCAGCGTGGCTTTTTCAGTTTACCGACATCAATGTCGGGCAGAATTGATCTCGCGGTAGCACGTGTCTTCTATTCCAGTTATGAAAGGCAATCACGCTCATATACAAACCCACACACACACATACATGTATATATATACATATATATATATATATATATATATATATATCAAAGAAAAGCATGTCTTAATTAACAACAGGGTCACATCCAGCGGTTTTTTTGGGGGGGGGGGGCTTTGTCAACTCTGCCTCCCTTGCCAGGTTCTGGCTGCACGTCGGGCCTAGGGCCATCCAGCGCAAGGGAGGGGGCGTTCCCTGCAAATTTGTGAAATTTTGGCATTATTCCCATTGTCTTCAATGGAAAAACGCCCCCAACATACACATTTTCGCAATGTTTCGTCCCGTGGCAGTCATTGCCACCAAGCCCTTGTCAGCCTGCTTGTTAATAGGCTGCGTCCTGCTGCTCGGAAGCGAGGGCCGTCCCTCTTATGCGGTCTTGAGCCGCCCTGAAGGTTGGTGTTGGAGCAGCTGTATTTACAACAGGTGCAACTCACCTGGCTCGCCGGCCCCTCTCCACTTCCCTGGTGAGGTGGCGACGATTTACATTGGCGATGGCCCCAGGAGCCGAGGGCAGATCCGTCTTGCTGTCGGTGTTGGCTTTCTTCATGTTTTCAGTTATAAATTGCGTCGGAATATTATAGTTTGTGGGAATAGATCAACTAAAAGCAAACCCTCGAGCCATCAACGTCAACACCAAATTGGGGAGACCCTTGCGTACCCGGCCCTGCCCCCATACGGGTCGGCAAGGTTTCACAAAGATTAGCTAAGGTTTAACAATTTTGGTATCTCTATGACGTCAGAGCAAACAGAGCGCATGCAAGTCTCTCGGGCGTATTAGGACGATTACAGATGACCGATAGTTTCGGCATGGCATGATGTATTTTACAAACGTCTGCGCCTTAGCTGGGTATGACAATGAATGTGACTTGCATGGTCATTGGCTCATAAGAATGATTTGAGCAGGAACATTTAGTGTAATACTTTTTAAAAACGATCTAGCCCCGGCGCCATGCTTCCAGATGGCTTGTGACGTAGCATAAAGACTTCTGGGGTTTGACACCGGACATTTTTATAAGGACTTTGTGGTGGAGCTTCCGAACGACGTGACCGCATCCACAAAACGAATTCTAGTCTCACATTTCCCAAGTTTCTGCCTCTCCAACTTGTGCCGTCATGCGCAAGGCCATCTTGTTCTTGCACGCAGATGAAACCCAACAAAAATGTTGTGGGGAATGAGCTATAACTGAGCTATGACGGAGCCAGGAGAGCGTAAGTGAGGTGAAGAAAATATAGAGAGAGCGAGAGAGAGAGAGAGGAGAGAGAGAGAGAGAGAGAGAGAGCGTCAGAGATAGATAGCCGAGAAGAGAGCGAGAGAGGAGAGAGAGATATAGAGAGGGAGAGAGAGAGAGACCGCGAGAGCTGCTCTATTCTTCTTTATCTCTCTCTAGAGATCCGCGCTCTGATCTTCTCTCCTCGAGCCTCTCGCTCTCCGAGCATCGCCGTCTCTCTCGCTCCTCTCTCTCTCTCTCGCTTCGAGGATCGCTCCTCCAGATCTCTTCTCGAGAGATCTCTCTCTCTCATCTCTCCCTCTTTCTCCTTCTCGGAGCTCATCTCGTCCTGCTCTCTAAACTCTCTCGCGCTCTCTCCTCCTCTCTCGCGCTCATCCTCGAAGATCTCGCTCGCTTGCTTCTCTGCTCGCTCTTGCCTCTCAGCGCTCTCTCGCTCGCCCTCGCAATGCGTCGATCGAGCTAGGCTCGCTCTCTCGGAGCGAGCGCTCGCGAGGCTAGCAGAGATGAGGGGTGGCCGGTGGTGTTTGCGCGACATATTACGACCATGCTATGGCCGCAGTTTTGATGGATGGCATAAACAGATATAAATATTTTCATTTAGGATCCTCCGTAATATAGTTTTCTCGCATCCGCTTCACACACATTGGACCTCGAAGCCAAAAACACAAGGACATTACATATGGTGATTAATTAACGGCACTATAGATTCATCTCGATCACATGCAGTCGCGTGCAGTCATCTTGCCTACAGGTAAGCGACTAGACCGTTCCCAAAGGCCAAGTCACTGGATGCCTGGCGAACGTCTGATGGCAGCCAATACCACATGTGAGTCGCTCGGGAAAAAGTTATCGACGCAGGAAGGTGCGCACTTGCTTGAGTTGTAGCATACTGTCAGCTGTGGCCCAGGTGGCGCGTGAAGAGGCCGGGGCGCTATGAAAGGCCATTTCTATAAGTTTAGCAGGATCGTCTAAGCACCGAACGGGTATCAGCGTGACATTGGAGCTGGTCGTGGCCGCCTGCGTGACGGTCCTCGAAGCTTCGATACTCCTCGACGTCAGGGTCGAGGATGAGGACGAACCGGAGTTGCACGAGATATACGCACCCATCGTCCATGAGGTTCGGGAGCACGTGGGGCGCAGGACCATGTACAAACAGGTGGTATTTCCCACTCTGGGCAGGCCGTGTATTTGGTCTTCTGGAAGAGCATCGTCTAGGACATTAGCCACACCGTTCTGAACGACAGGGTGTACCACAAGCAGGCACAAACGACATCGTCCCCATCGGTGACGGCACGTTTGTCCATACACCGAATGCTACCCGGAAACAAAGGGATTAACTGCACGGTGTCGACGGGCCAGAATACGGCATGTTCACCTACTCCCCCGCCTCGCGCTGAGCTTTCTAGCACTGGTCTGCCCAAAACGTACGACTGCGACCTCTGGAAGGCTGGCTCCACCTTCATAGTCACCGCCTGTCTTACCGGCGCCAAGGACAACTTCTCCACGTTCAGCTTCGACTGCTCCGATCTGATCTGGAGCTGCGATGCTGTCGACGGGACCTCCTCCCTTGAAAAGGTTACACACTGCGGACGGGCCTGCGAGGGTACCTTGCTGGTATTCACTTCACAGCGTATCTGCGCACATCTTTCCCGCCCGCGCACACCTTTCCCGTTTTCCCACCGTAAGGCAGGATCATGGCTTTCCGCTGGTAAAAGTTACGGAGGAGTATGGCCGCTGAACACCATTCCTGGAAACCAGGATGTAGCTTCGCCGAAAAGGTTGGGGGAGGGATGAACGGTGAAAAATGACGAAACCCATCCATAGAAATGCGCCAGCAATCGGCTTTCTCTCCAGATTTGAGCTAATGGGGGTAAATCCTAATGTAGTGGGAGGATGGCGCCGCTCCAATTGAGTTGGGAACCGGGTCATTCAGGATAACATTCGATTCCGCGCTAAGAACATTCCTAATGCATTCCGCAGTCGGAACGAAAACTAGCGTCATATCATAGTGGTTGTTGTACAACCAGACATACCTTATGATCGCAACTTCATAGCCCTCGTAGCCGAATTTGAGACGTTTGTGCCGCGTGTTTTGTGCCGGATATCCTCTCTGGGGGACGCGACGCGGGTCGGGGCATTGTATTGGATCGGGGCGCTTCGCGCGAGGTTAGCCCTTCGGCTGGGTAGCTGTGTTTCAAATTATCGGCACGTCTAATATCCTTCAGCGCACTAGGTGGGTTTGATGCTTGCGTTTAGATGGAATGTTCGGTTCCCGTTAGGACAGCAGGGGCTGATCAGGACTTTGGGGGGGCTGATCGTTATTGTAGAATGTCATTCAAAGTGCCTGGTGGTGAATCTCACGCACACAGATATGGCTGTATATATATATATATATATATATATATATATATATATATACAGCAAAATGCATGTGTATATATACAGATACACATAGTATTTTGACATTACCAGGGGGGGGGGGGGGGTTCAGACTCATGTTGCTGTGCTGCTCATGGAATGGCTGTGTGCAGATATCAGTAATCTGATAATTTGGGTGTCACGATGGAATTAACAGGTCAGTGGGAACCCAGTCGACAGAATAGTGGGCAAAGCTACTGCTTGAAATGGTATTTTATGCTGTTGACACATTTAACTGCTCCAACAGTATCAGGAGAAGAAACCCACAGAATTTACTGCTGGAAATATTGCATAGTATGCACATAACAGCATACATCAAACCATTTTGGGGACTAAATTATGGTTTCAGTACCTTAGTACCTCTTGCCATTTGCCCCCCCCCCCCCCTCCCCCCACCACCATCCCCCTGAAGCCGCCCTTGTGAGGCTGTGCTGGTTTCACTTTTCAAATGGATATGAACAGTCCATGTTGACATTTCCTATAATCAGACATTTATTGAATGGCACAGTTGTCACAGAGACAGGTGTGGTTAAAAAAATATGCTGCAAAAGCAATTCATATATCCTCTGGCAGCCTGAAAAAAATCCATCCACTGTGCCAGAGGCCTACATGTTATGAATGTGCTGAACCTCACCTTGGTATGTGCTGAACTCAGGCCTTGCCAATTTATGCTTGATTTTCAAACCATTACTGTGACAAATATCCAGCTTTTAGCTGTTTAAAATGAATTTTGAAAATTTCCATATTGATGCATGCCATGATTGCTTGAAACATTGCCAGATATGCTCCTCCCAACATTGTCATTTTGGTCTGGATTTTTAATGTCATCTTGTTAAACTTAAATTGAATTTTGCCCATAGTCTAGGCATTTGTTATCAATATTTTTTTTCTGACAGGAATCAGCTCAGATCCGGTGGCATGTGTTGTTTCCAATTACCAGAATTGGTAGGCCATCAGTATTTTGGTAAACAACACCACCTTGATGCCATGTGTAGCTGCACTTAAACTTGGCTCTGGCAAGGAACAAATTGAACAGGTATCTTTGTTACCACATGTTAGATGTTGGCATGTCTGTTGTAGGGACATGCAGCAATCAGAGATGGTGATTGATGGTTGTCCTTACCTCTGGCAAGATTTGATTAGGGTAAAAATATTTACCCTTAGCTCATCAGTGCATGCACTGTCACTGGTTAGCCATATGAAAAACTTGAATGACTTTGTTCATTCTCAGTGTGTAATCCCACAAGCCTGCCCTGAAGTGCATAAGCCTGCCCATATGAGGGATGTTTCCATCATCTAAAGATGGTGCAACCGAACTGTTTAGATTGCTGAGTGCATTTGCAAGGAACATTGTGCACATAAATAAGGCAGTAGTGGTAGCCTTATTCCTTATAGAAAGACCAGGAAAATGGAGATGTAGATTCATTGATATTTTGGCAATTTGCCTGGATCAAAACAAATGGCATAAGTAAATTTTCTGCCAGTTGTATTGACATAGGCATGAGGCCACCACGTCAACACGTCTTTATCTCCATTCTCTTGTTTTTTTTTCTATGATGAATAAGGCTATTACTATTGTCTTATCTATGAACTGTGCAGGTTTGCATTCATTCCATATGCAATGCAATTCCAAATCAATTCCATATGCATCCATTCCACAGCAACTGTTGTTTTCAATGTGACGACATGTCTGAACCACTAGCTCGGGCTGGCAAACAATCCACCCTAGGGGAAGAAGCCATGCAGCTGGTCCATGCCATTGGCTGACACCATCCTGCTGCGTACCCCCTCAGCCTGCCACAGAATGAAGAAGGGTGAGCTAGCGCCACTGGAGCGGCAGTCGAAAGTCAGAGAGCATGAGGAGGGAGAGGAGGAGGAGGAGGAGGAGGTGTACTGCGTCTGCCGCTCAGCCGACAGCACTCGCTTCATGATTGCCTGCGACAATTGCGAGGAGTGGTACCACGGCGACTGCATATCCGTCACCGAGCGCGAGGCCAAGCACATCAAGCGCTTCTACTGCCACCGCTGTCGTAAGCGGGATCCCGAGCTGAAGATCCGCTACAAAGACAAGAGCCGCGGCGGCCGACACGGCGACGAGCGCGGCGAGAAGACGGAGCGCAGCGAGAAGAGCGACAGGAGCGAGAAGGCTGAAAGAAGTGAAAAGGCCGACAAGAGCGAAAAGGTCGACAAGAGCGAGAAGGCGGACAAGAGCGAGAAGGCCGACCGGGGCGAGAAGGCTGAGAAGAGCGAGAGAAGTGACAAGAGCGACAAGGCTGAGAAGCGACCCCGGGAAGAGCGCGACAAGCACCGCGACTCGAAGAAGGCGGCGCGCGCTGAGCGTGAGTCGGTGCCGCCGCCGCAGCCGCCGCCCCCACCTCCGCCGGCGTCGGTGGCGCCGCCGCCAGGGTGCGGCCGCTGCGCGCCTTGTCAGCGCGCGGCCGACTGCGGCCGCTGCGCCGCCTGCCGCGACGCGCCGGCCTTCGGCGGCGCTGGCCTCCAGTCGCGGCCGTGCAGGCGGCGACTGTGCGCCGGCCCGCCAGCCTCGCCGCCGCCGCCGACGTCGCCGCCGCTGCGCGAGACGAACCGGCCGGCGCCGCGGCCCGAGGAGGCGGCGCCGGCGCCGGCGCCGCGCCGGCGATCGAGTGAGCCGCGCCGCGCTGCCGGCGCGCGTCGGCGCAAGCGCGAGCTGTCAGATGACGAGGACGAGGCGGACGGATCGGGCAAGCAGTGCTACGGGCCGCAGTGTGTCAAGCCCAGCCGGCAGGGAAGCCGCTACTGCTCCGATCAGTGCGGTCTTAACCTGGCCAGGAACAGGATCTTTCAGGTGGGTGGCCGCGACGGGGTGGGAGCTGTCTCAAGGTCGCTCGGTGTAAGGGTTTGCAGCACCGGGTGACTAACATACCTGTGTCGGAACTGTAATTAGTCTGTGCCGGAGGGCATGCGCCGGGCAATGACGTCAGCTGCTCATGTTTTACCCGTCTCTACATCATCCGCTGTTTTGTTCAACTCATATCGCCAGTCATCTCTCGCCAGCTACCTCCCGCAACATGCATCGTCGCACCCCCATTTTGCAGTGACATGTCTCACTGCGTCCACCAGCAACGCATGCTTGGGCGTTCTCCCTACCCGCACAATGGCGCTTTGGCGCTACCTGTGCGATACGGCTCCACTCTCCTGTCTGAGCAGTTGCTTGTCATGTGAGAGCGTGAAATGGCTGTAGCGGCCGAACTGCACTTTCGTACCAACCATTACCATGGTGCCGACACGCGCTCGTGGCTCTGACCCAGCGCCGGGGCCGCGCCGCCAGGTGCTGCCTCAGCGCATCCAAGAGTGGAACATGACACGCTGCGTGGCCGAGGACCGCAACATGCGCACCCTGGAGCGCATCCGGCGCGAGCAGCTGGAGGCGCAGACGCAGCTGGAGCGGCTGACGCGCTCGCACCACGAGCTGGACCGTGTGGTGGACCGCGGTCGGCGCGGCACGGTCGACCCCTCGGCGCTGGAGGACGACACCGAGGAGGAGCAGCACAGCTGTCCACTGCGTCACGTGTGGCCACGAGGTGGCCACCAGGAACGCCGTGCGCCACATGGAGAAGTGCTTCGGCAAGTACGAGAGTCAGACGTCGTTCGGCTCGCTCTACCAGACGCGCGTGGAGGGGTTTCAACATGTTCTGCGACTTCTACCAACGCGGCCAACAGGACGTACTGCAAGCGGCTGCGCGTGCTATGCCCCGAGCACAGCAAGAACCCGAAGGTAGGTTGGGGAAGGCAAGGGTGGCGCGCCCACAGACTGGACAGTTTTACTTCAGCAGCCTTGAGGGTGAAAGCTAATGTTATGCCTTTGACATTCGATGAAGAAGTGGGAGAGTAATACCTCCCGACCTCCCAATGGTCAGCACTGGCGGGGATGTCTTGCGCGAGCAAAGTGGGAGCTGCGGGTGGGTGCAGTGACATGCACGACTCAGTTTGAAAGGGCGAGGGCATCGCCGGGAATAACGGGGTTTTAATCAAGACCGTGTCAGGAGGTGGCCGCCAGGAGCGACGGCATTGATCGTGCCACTATTGCACCAATTCCTGCCCGAGGATAAGTCATCTGGGCGTTTGTTGGCTTTGACGTCATAGACTGGGTACCCGACACAACAGCCCCCAGCGCATGCCCGGGTTTTCTCTGGCACAGTTTGACTCCGCGCTCATTGCCGCCGAATGACGAGGCTCCCAAATGTCCGCGGTTTCCTAAATTATCCTCGCTTGTGTCCCGTGCCTCTCATCCCAGCTTTTCCCTGTTCGCATGTGTCTATTACCCGTCGTCTGCCCATCCCCGGCCCCCCGCAGCTCACGTGTGCCGGTGTGTCCCCTGATCCGGTGTCGTCCCTGTCCGCAGGTGTCTGATGACGAGGTGTGCGGCTGCCCCCTGGTGGCGGACGTCTTCACGTCAATAGGCCAGTTCTGCCGCGCCCCGAAGAAGAAGTGTCTAAAACACTTCAGCTGGGAGAAGCTGCGCCGAGCCGAGCTCGACATGGAGCGGGTGGGTACGGCCGGGGGGGGGGGGGGGGGCGGGGGACGCTCGGGTCACGCAGGCCTGGCGAGAGCCGATGCCACACGTGTGTATTGGACCGCTGGGAGCGCGGCTGTGGAGCTGATGATGAGAGGACCCGATGCGGATGAGATGGAAGTAACGGTTACATTGTGGTCCAAAGATGTCAGCAGTGATACGTACTTACGTGAGACTGCGCTCTGGTTTGGATGGCTCATGCTTGCTTGCTGTGACGGCTTGAATAGGAATTATGAGAGGAGTGCGAAATATTTTAACGTGGACGGCAGGGGCTTTGTCTAGGCTGCTGCTCAAGCAGGGATTTTTGCTTTACATGTGCTTGTACATTAATATCCATCCTTTGATGGCATTTTTGATCAATAATGAAATTATATCCCTCACGGCGTGCATTACCGCACGTCCCGTTACCTTTTCGTGACAAGCATCCTCTGTAAAAGATGGTTACCCTTACCATTTAGGAAAACTGTCTGCAATGCCGCTGTCGTACTGAAATGCGGCTACTGCGAGCCAGTTGAGAGCATATGAATCTCTGGCTTTCTGCATCATCGGCTGCAGTAAGCGGCGCCCTTCGCGCTGTTCGAAGCCATTACGCTACAGCACATCTGTGGCGTTGTAAGTGTGCTTGGTCTGCACCAGGCGTCTGACCTCCCCCGACCTCGCCTGCCCCGTCGTCAGGTTCGCTGGGCGATGAAGATGGACGAGCTGCTGGAGCAGGAGCGGCAGTGCCGGCAGAGCATGGCCAACAGGGCCGGCGTGCTGGCGCTGATGCTGCACTCTACCTTCGACCACGACGTCATGGAGAAGGTGCAGAGCCAGCAGAAAAAGATGGCCAGCAAGGTGAAGGTCAAGGTGTCCTAGAGTCATGCCAGGGAGGTGACTGTTCTGCGTGCAGGGTGGTCAGGGGGTTGGCCCACCAGTGGGACACCTTCGGTGTTAGCAGGATTGCAGCCGCGCTGAGGTGGCTGGCCGCCACATGATATCTCGGGTTAACCTGAGCTGGCTTGGGCTGCCCAACAACCGCGGCAGCCATACTGTGTGGGCTCGAGGTGTCCTAAAGATCGGAACTGTAGTGCTCCAAGTCCTCCCAGATGAGCGTGTCCCCCTCAAGAGGTCCAACTGAATGCTATGCCGCGAAAGGTGGCCTTGATCAAGAATAAGGTGGGTCCGATCGAAGGGGATTAGTCCAATGTAGAGGAGGTGTCCAGGACGATGCTGGAGCTCTAATAGGATGGCTGCGCTGCCATGGGCTGAAAATGTGGCGCACCGATATGGGTTCTGCGATCACAGCAGGCTTGTGTTTCGTGGTGTGTTGAGCCGACGGGATGGCGAAGTTCAAGCAAAGCACCGACCAAAATATGCGTTCGTTCATATTCTCATCATGTTTTTTTCTCGCCTTGTTGGCATTGATTGCATTGTAATTTGCGGCAATACATGCTTTGCTCGGTCTCTAAGTGTTTGCGTCTTACGTTGGTCTTACGCCCTGCTGACAGTGCTGGAAACTCCGACTAGCCAATCACGAATCATTGTGGGGAAGTGAAACTGTGGTTGATAAAAGTTTGGACATCGAAGGTGTATTGGGAAGGTCACTCTTTTTCGAGTGAAACCTGTATTTCTTTGTATGTTTTTCTACAATCATATAAGTGCTATTGCCCCATTCCCTTGCAGGGGGTCATGCAGCACTCCGCAAACACACCTCGGATTGAGTTTCAAACACGATCCTCCTTGGTTTGTACGGGTGAAGCTGATACGTTAATGGGAGACCGCGACTGGTAGCAGTCACGTCATTCGTCGCTGGTTCGAATTTGTTGCGTATGTACGCCATCTGCCGGCGTCGACGGCTGGTACACGATTACACGCGTCGATTCGTCCTCGGGGCGTGACTTGTACATAATAAACAGGAGCAAGCTGGCCACCCACCAACACCTAGACGAACACAAAATCCTCTAATTTAGTTGAAATATGGCGTTATTGATTTTTGTCAAGCTCGAGTGTTTACTTGTGCTTGGAGTTCCCTGTCTGCTTTCCTTGTTATGGTTTTGATGGGATAAACTGTACGTTACTCACGAGTACATGAGAGCGCAAGACGTTTCCCTATCTATGTTGTCCACCACATGAAAATGATGCGCAAAAAACCGCCAATTAGGTGTCCCTGTCTCACTCTAGCTGAGGGCTATATTGGCAGATTTCCGTGCATAGCGGCCTAGACGGGACCTTTCACCCCCACTTTGACAGTTTCATGGTTCACTCGGCATAACTGACCAGTAGCGTAACAGCCAGTAAAGTTGGTTTAGTTAGGTTTGGTCCCAATAAGTTCCGTCAAGTAGATTTATAACACAATTAAAACTACTGCTGCTTGAATTAAAGCTATCAGCCGGCATCTCATAACACATGAGATTACTGCGAAGCCGTCTGATACCCACGTTGTCCCATGTTGAAAACGCGCGAGGCTCCTATTCCCGACCTCGGCCTGGGGTTATTGCAGACCCCGTCACTCGAGCGTGTGACGATGATTCAGCCATATTTTGGATGTCACTCAACCCACAACCTGTTCTGCTTGTTGTTTATTGGAACGCCATATCATGGAACTGCGACACAAATAACGTACATTCCATCGTCGAAGGTGATTCACTCTATTTAGTTCGGTCGTGGCCACTGACTGCACGTGCAACAAAACCCGTTTGATTTCACAGACTCCCACACAGTTGTCCCCACGTGCCAAGCTCCCAGTTGTTCCGAAACTCGTGTCGCATTAATAAAAACAGCAAAACAACACAAACTGTAGTCTGGACAGTGCTTGGGGTCAAGCGACGTCCGATCCTCTGTGCTTCATCTAAGCCCGAGAATGAAACCGCTGGGAAAACTGAATCGCACTAACTGACAGTAGACTGACTGTTGGCTTAAGCATGCAGCTGTGCACTAACATCCCTGTGCTGCTTTAACCAGCATCCCACACTGAAGGCTCCAGGTTGGAGAAGAAGCAGGCATAAAGGACGAACTGCGGCCAAGTTTCATTCCTATGACAGTCGTGCTGGGTGACTTAAACAAGAAAAGAAAACGGTGCCCTTAGATAACATAGTGGCTGAAAGTAACGATGCAATCTGTAAAGGACGCCAGATGCGTGTAAGCCCCTAGAACACCCCCGTCCCTATCCCCTCCACGCAGGTAGGCTCGGATGCCCACCGCCTACCCTGTACGGGTCTTCAGTGACACGTGAGTCGCGCACCGCCCGTCAAGCCGAGGACTGCGGCAGTGAGGTGAAGACCGCCTCGAACGGCAGGCAGTTGCGCGTGAGGCCCATGGTGGCCTCCTCCGTGGGCGGCAGCCGGCCGGGCGGCAGCGCGACGGTGAACTCGCGCAGCAGGCCGCCCATCATCAGGAAGTGGTACGCCTGGGCGTACTCCTCGCCGGTGCAGCGACGCAGGCCGATCCCATACGGCACCAGGTTCTCGCTGGAAGCGAACACACCGTTGCGCAAGAAACGCTCCGGCCTGAAGCGGTCCGGTTCGTGCCATAGCTGCTCGTTCCACTGCGTGCCGACGATGTCGTAGCGCAGCACGGCGCCGGACGGCACGCGGTAGCCGCCCACCAGGAACTCGGCCAGGCTCCGGTGCGGCACGCCGGCCGGTGTCAGCGACGAGCGGCGCAGTACCTCGGCCTCGAAGGCTCGCGCCAGGTGCGCATGCGGCCGCTGCGCCAGCGCCAGCGGCGCGGCGCCGGCGAACTCGGCGCGCAGCCGCTGCTGTACGTCTGGGTGGCGCAGCAGGTAGGTGAGCGCCCACTCGCAGAAGGCGCTTGTCGTCTCGCAGCCGGCGTTGAGGAAATCGAAGAAGAACATGACCAAGTCCTCGTCCGTCTCGGGCCGCCAGAGTGGGTCCCGCTTGCTGGCACGAAGCCGTGCGATGAACGTGCCCTCGCGCCGGCCGCCGCCGCCGCGCACGGCCTCCGCGAACTTCTCGCGCACGGCATCGCGGTAGCGCAGCACGGCGCCGAAGCCGCTGCGCTCGTGGAAGAGCGTGCGCAGCAGCCGGTTGTCGACCCAGGGGTTCTGCAGCGCGGTCATCTCGGCACTGAACAGTGCCGTCAGGCGCCGCGTCTCCGCCTCCGGCAGCCTGTGGCCTGTAATGACGTGCCAGCACAGGCTCAAGTACCGCGGACGGAAGAGACTCTTCACCTGCACCGGGCCGCGGGCCGCCCGCAGCTCGCTCACCAGCGCGGCCACCTCGGCGCCGATCATCGCCTCCAGCTCGGAGGACGAGGTGAGCATGTGGTGCAGCGAGGCGCGAACGAGGCGCGAGTTGCGGCTCCAGCGCGCGCCTTCGGAGACGATGACGCCCGACGACGCCGGCCGAACGAGACGGCCAGCTGCGCTGAGCCAGCGAACCGGCCGTTGGCCGCCTCTTGCGTCATGGCGGCTTGGCTCAGCTCCAGGCCCTCCATGTACACGTTGTAGAGCCCGCCGGCGTAGAAGCCGACGACGCTGCCGAAGCGACGCGGAAGCGCCCGCAGCGTGTCGAAGAGGGCGTCACGCGTCGAAGCGCCGACGAAGGCGAGCGTGCCGACGATTGGCAGCGGTTGTCGGTCCCGGCGGGCCGCCCGGTGGCCGACGCGGCCAGAGCAGGAGCAACGCGGCGGCGACCACCAGCGTTGCCAGCAGCGCCGGTGGCACGACCAGGTCCTTGGGCAGCACCTCCTCCAGCATGGTTAGGACGGCGGCGCGGGAGCGTGGAGGTCAACTGCAGAGACGGCGAGCGTGGAGCGGTCTGACAGCGGTCGCCGCTGAAGGCAAACGGATGACGTTGGCTAGGAGAGACGGCGACGAGGCACGCCGGGCGAGGCGGGGCCACCGACGGCGGCTGCAGCTGACAGGAGGTGGAGGGCGAGCTCAGGCAGCGGCGGTTCCAACAGCGAACTCGCGGCACACGTTTTCGCCTACCGCACTTACCGTTCGTCCACCGCGCCTGGAGACGTCGCTGGGGTCGCCGAGTAAGCTACGGCTGGTCGCTGCAGGGGTCGTATGGCGTCTCCGCGGGATCGTTTACTGCCTGTTCAACATTCGCCAGGTGTTTCGTGACAGATCCCCTGTCACATGCGGCACAGTCTCCCGGAATGTGTTACTCGGTCGCGACTGTCATGACTTGTATGCCTCAGGTTTGCCCGGACTTCAGTTTTGTCGTGCAAAGAATGGTGCGCTTCTAATAGCCGCACAATTGGCGCCGTGGCATAGTCTGTGAGTGAACGACGAGACTACACGCTCATAGGCAGCCGAGCAGGCAGTTCACAAGGTAACAGAATAAATCTCACGGCTTATTACCGGTACAGAGGAAGTGGAAGTGGGATAGATCAGAAATTATTTCCTTACCAACCCGCATGATTACTTAAACTTTTGGTTACGCGAACCTGACAGCCAAGTGACGCACTCGAGGACTAGATTTCCTACTGAATACGACGTTTCATCGCCTATTTTGTTGGGCCAATGCAGCTTTTCTCAATAACATGGCTTCCTATAAAAATCGACGTCATGAAATCCAAGAATGTAGCTTTTGCTGTGAGATCTGGATCTAATTTTGCTACTTCAATATATAATGAAGGTAAATTGGAACAACTTAGTCTACTTTTCTGTTGTATGCCATGCATTTCAGTAGGACTTTGTTTTAACTGATCACCAAAAATGCAGCTGAAATAAACCAAATGAACACTTGTACCAAATTTGATACCCCACAACTAAAATCAGCACTTCACCACCGATTGGATTATTGCCACTACTGCAAACGTTTCCACCACCAGTTTTAGGAAGTCATTAACTGCAAAACTGCAAGTTATCATGTCACCAAAGGCACGGAAAATATGTCCGGAAAAACATAATCCGCCAAATCGGCTGAGGTTTCACCAAATAAGTGAAACAAATCACCAAGAACTGGCAGGAAACCAAAACTTTGTACCAGAAGCTCAGATACTCAGCCATCAGTAAAAACAACCATATTCCGAGCCAAGTCGGCATTAACCTGCGAATGTTTTGGGGCACGGATGCCATTATTCACACTGGAGCTACGTTCTATCGAACACACCTTCAGATCCAGGGGTGCAGCTAGTTGGTGTGTGTGTGTGTGTCGGGGGGGGGGGGGGGGGCGCTGAAACAAGGTGGCTCCCTGTATCTAGGCACAGAGTGCTTAGCAAGGGCGGCTGTGCTGGCAAGGGGCTCCTTGTCGACCAGAGGTACATTTTGCGGAATGGCGATAGGACGGGACCCTACATTTCAGAGATCCACTTACGTTGGACGAGTTCCTTTTGCCTGCCATGGGATTGAAATACAGGAAATGGCCATGAAATGATCCACAATGAGACAGTGAAGGACCTGGCCAGTCACGGGCTATGATGCCGAACAGGGACCCTAAAGAGCCCCTGGGCCCGAGCTCCAAAATGGACTCAGGACCCCGTTTGAGCCGGTTTTCTGAGAACCTTACCTGCGGTACGTGCTGCGTTCCACACACGTGCTTGGTTGGTGCATTTGATTGTTGTCATAATCGTCTTAAGAGGCTTTTTTATTTGTGGATTTTGGGATCAGAGCTCACCCAAAAGCAGGGTTATTGTGTGTGCCCTAGGACCCCACTTATTAAATTGTGAAATTTCAATTCCACCGCAAAACTTCATGAAAAAACCTTGCATGCACCGTAGCGCTTGGCACGGTACGCTGCCCTTTGTCCCCCTGACATTGGACAGCCGCTGCCACCGGTCGCAGGACCATCCAAGTCAGAAGTCAAATAGCGAGCGCATGTAGACGCAGCCAAGATCGAAAATGCGGAAGCCCACCTCCACCTCGCCACCACGTTTACGTTATGAGTTCTCACTAGGTTCCACGTCGCCCTCCGTGTTTCGTTATCATGGATGTGCCCCTGCGAGGGCGTACATAGCGACTTGAACTCCCATACCGCCACGGGTGCGTTGGCATCGCTGGAAGCTGATACAAATTAGGCAACGAAGGGCTACCAGCTGTTCTTTAGGTTACGATTTGGCTTATTGCGGTGATGACCAGATTTTAACTGGCGCCATTGGTGATGAATCAGTCTTCTGGTGGTAAATTGGCCGTTACGGCTTGTTGATTCAGTTGGTGATTAAAGTGTCCATTTTGGTGATGGAAGTGGATATTCCAGTAGTCCAATTAACTTTGTACCTTTCAGACGCCCTTGATTTGATGCGATAACAAAATCCATTGTTGTCGTTGTCATGGATACGAGTCTCCACATACTGGCACGGCAGCAATTGGGCGGATTAAAGTTTAAGGCGTGTTTAAGTGCTGTTTTTATTTATTCATGCTGCTGAAGACTTTCTTGTGTTGGCGTGACAGGAGGCGAGATTTCCTCCACTTACGACGTCATGTTCAATGCATTTTCCATGTTGGCATCTGTTAAGCCTGTAGCATAGCTTTATGGAATGGAAACTTAATTTTTTGTGGCCAGTATATTGCACAGGATGTGATCCCAACCCCAAATGCAGTCCAAGCTGACTGCAGCTGCAGATTTGTTTGCAATCCGAGTTTGTATGCAATGCAGTGCATCATGGGTAGTTCGAAGCTCAATCTATGTCCTCTGATTTGCATGATTTGGTGAATGCCATATCGTGAGTTTTGCAAGCTGTTTATCTGCTACCCCCAAGGAGATGTAATGTATCTCTGGTTAAATCATTTGCTGGATGCAAGTCATAGCATGCAAGAAACCCACAATACCTTACTGTATTTTGAAGTGAAGTGCACAATGTTGTACACAACAACCTACAATCAGGAGCAACAGTTAAGGCGGAACTGCATTTAAATGGAACAAAACTTTTTAGTGTCTTAAAATTAAGACAGACCTAACGTTGACAGTTAAAAAAGCGAGAGCACGTGTAAAATGAAGGGCATGGAGAATAACCGATGCTGTTTTCCTTATGCCCCGCTAGAGCTGCTGTACACCTGCAACGCATTACGTTTGAGTTTTAGTGAATTTTTACGCATAGCCTTCACTACCTGTGAAATTTTCAGCACGTCCCCAGCGGGTTGCGTTTCAATTTACGTCAGTTGGCGTACTTCAACCATGCTGAACGACATGGACTAATTGCAGCAATTAACATGCCCTGGTGTATAATGCTTTTGGTCATCACTAGCCATGTGGGCTAGCTTAGCGTTTGTAGTTCCTGGGCGCTGAGAATGTCGCGGCCGTCGCCTTTGCTGGTTGGAGCCGTGAATGATGTGCGGGGCCGGTGGCTATTTGCTAGTAACAGTACCGATCATCTGCCCGGCATGCGATGCCTAATATATCCACGAATAGCGACGGCCACGGTGGTAGCGTCATCCAACTCCCAGCAAAAATGTCAAAAGTGCATTAAAAACCGGGCTATTGCCTGCTGGGCGTGTTTTCTTATTAGTTCTTATCCTCGCGTATGCTTTTGTTTTCTTATTTCGTCCGAGATAGTCCGTTAGTCTGAAGTATAGCCTTTTGACAACATTCCTTCTCTTGTGACGTCCTCTCACGTTAACGTTAACAACACGAATACCTACACGAACCAGGATGGAGTGGCCGGCCAGCGATGAAAAGTGCCTTTTCTGTCACCGACGAAAGTTGGAATCGTCTAAGTTGTTACCTGGGGCAAGATCTTTCAGAAAAAAATGCAACATAACTCTAAATGCGATGCGGCACAAAAAACAAGTGGAACTGAAGTGCAGCGTGGCACAACCATGGAACAGTTTTGCTTCGGTAGTTCATTTGCACTAAAATATTATTTGCCTGCCATCAAACACTGAATGATGAACGAGACTTCACTTAAAAATCAAGCACAGGCATATGTAACATAACCAGCCCAGAGGCATGCAGCTTCCTTTTCAGTTAGGGGAGGTCGAGCCTTCAAGCCAGGGATGTGGTTTCCCATTCTTATCTATTATATTTATCCATTGATTTTCTGTTATCATAGTCTTTTAAGGTTCAGCCACCCAAAACTGATTTTGAGAAACTAATTTTCTGCTTCCAACCGTGAAAAGAATATGCGCCAGATCTAGATAGAAAACCGTACAAGTTAATCTCGAAAGCAGACCCAGCCATTTTTTTGTTCGTACCTCCCCCCCCCCCATCCCCTCCCTGTTCCCCTCGTACCCACAGCCTTGCACTGAACCCAATTTATTACCGTGTGGCGAGCATTTGAGTCCATCTGTCTCAAATAGCACAGCACTTTAAAACGCCGTGCAACAAACTGATCATGTTCGTCGCAAGATGCTGTAGCCCGCCACGATTCTTCTACGACTAGTAATAAGCCTAGTTATTTGGTATGTTATGCTGTTAAGTATGTAGCATGAATTTGCCGAAAAGTCTGTGAGAAGCCCTGCTCTGAGGGGTGTTGAAAAAGCCCTGTGTCACCACTGATCTGTGCTGTCAGCACTGATATCCTATGATTTGTAGTACATTTCAGCCACC